AAAAAAATCTTAGTGAATCTAGAGACCGTACAACACGGAGCCCCTAATAAAGTGAAATCTAAGATGACGGATCCCCAGGGCCCTCGCAACGGTGACTTGCGGTCGCGAGGTTCTGGGTGAGGCGTATTTGACCGGGGGGTATGGAAGGTACAGAGTATCCATTAAGGAGGTCCGGAAATTTTTGAAAAATTTAATTTCAAATATCCACTTTTAGCGCCCCAAATTGTTATCGCAGCCTCACAAATGCGGGCATTTTTTTTAAGGAAATAACGTTAAAATGATAAAAACTATTTGCTAGTACAAATAATACAATTCCTTTAATATAATTCAAGAAGGCGGCGGAGCACATTTTAAGAAATGCTGCATTTAGAGTATTAGACTAGGTATAATAATAATGATGTCTAAGTCTAGTCATTATTTACTGGCAAAATCAGGAAACGAAGTGGTGGAGAACTGGACCCCTGTGCTACACCCAGATAGGTCTTTTTCTTTGATATTATTATATTTATGATCAATGTTTCCAAGTCCATCAAACTGATCATCTCCGATCAGCAGTTACCTATTGTGCTGACGAGACAAATTAGAAAGAGAAGCACGTGAACCAATAAAACTTGATTAATCGATTACGCTTACGAAGATCTAAATTTGCATTAAACGGATACAAATTTCTAGCAAATTATATAATAGTAGTACCTTTTAATGACTAATTTATTAAAGCGTGCGCTACAATAACAAAACGCCTTATGAAACATCCGGCCGCCGCGCCGGCCGCATTAAAAATTGACAAAGTTATTAATTTGGCAACAGCTCATTTTTTAAATCGAGAAATTTTTAAATTACTATACAATTAACCCAATTGCTAGTCAGAATGTAATAAAAGGATCCATTGTTGCAAGGGAATTATTATAAAATGACAAAATCGAATTGTTAACATTTTGCACACTCCTTTATGCAATTTCTGTTACTTAACGTTTTAGACTTTTTAACATTTATTCAAGGTTCGTTATGCAATACCGTTTGGCAAGCTTGCAACCTTGATAAACCGTTTCTTTCTTATTGTGTGAACACATGAAGGTAAAATAGAAAGTAGGATAACTTTTTTGGAACGAAAAAATGGGAGGAATGTTACCGTTAACCATTAAGCTATTTTTAAAGATTATCTAAATAGGATTTATGGTAATAAATATCAGAGGGACACAGATGTAACTAATCCAAAAATAAATTTGGTGAGGTAATTAGTTATGTTAATGTACCACGACGACGAGTTTTAAACGCTGAGGACATCAAATTTGAGTGTGCATCCCAAGTTAATTTATGGAACGCTGTCTGTGTCTGAGCAAAGCAATTGCTACATTGCACCGGCATTAAATCGGCGATGGTTCCTCGTTCTATAAATTTGTCTTGGAAGGACGACGAGGTAATTTTCGCCAATGCGCTTCCTCGTTTCAGCACAGTCGCTTTTCTCGTTGTCTCGTACATACTTCGACCTCCAGTGCCTTGGTGTTGGTTCAAATGGTGTGGTTTATCCGCCACTTTAAGATGTGTATACCACACCAAGGTTTTTTTGTTAAATTTTCTCCGAAGCGTCCGTTTCCCGTTAATTTTCTCGACAATTTCCTCAAAACTATAAGGTTGTCGTTTATAAACATTTTATAGATGTCTTCTGAACCTATCTTCCGGAATCTTATCGAATTTTCCTGAAATCTCGAATTCTATTGGAATCTTATTTTTCCCTATTATCGTGGACATTTTAGCATTGGAAATGCTTGTTTTGTATGGGTATGAAGTTACTGGTTAGTCGAGCAGAGCAGAAAAGAAGACATTAAGACAATTGGTGTCGCATCAAGTGATGATTGTCCCGTACGCGTGTTGGCAGACAGTACCATTATACAACGCGTAGATGCGCTCAGTCGTGGCGTGATCAATTTAAGAATGGTATCCAATTTATGAGCTATTTAGGTGCTTTTCATATCGCAAGCTTAAAATTTTAGAGCTCGCTTTAATCACTAGGAATCGAACATTTCTTATGGGGTGGCCGAGTCTACTTGGATTCAGCCCCCCACTGATCAGAATTACTTTTTTCAAATTAAATTTTGTCCTGGAATTACGAGCTATTTAAGAGCTTTTATTTACAAGTAATTTTGATCTTTAAAGCACTTGCAACGTTAAAGGCACTCCGCTTCGCGTCGTGTCGTGCGCTTAAACTCGTTGTGCGTGCATTAAAGACTTGATTATACACTTGTATCTTAATATACTATTTTCACTATGTAAAAAAGAATTTATTAATACTTGCGAAGCGTGAAAATGATCAATATTTTCCAAATTACCTACTTATTTCCGCTTAGTAAATTTAATTTTTTTGGTATTTTCGACAGTAACACCCCGTAAGGGTTACCCTCGTGTTACATCGAAGACTTCAGTGCATTTTTGTGTGACAGATCAGTATTCAATTATTCGGTTTTGAATCAGTAAGACTTTGTCTTCGAAGGCGGTGACTTATGCTGGGCAAGTATTAAATTCTTTTTTACATAGTGATGAAATTATCGGACTTTTTTTAACGAAAAATGGCATTAGTGGAGCGAAATCGCGCCAAATATGTGAAAAAATTTTTTTTGAGGTATAACAAGATCGGTAAGACCCCATTTCAGCGGTCCCATTCAACAGCACGCCGTTTGCGCAGCGTCCCATTTCAGCGGTCCCGATTCAACCGACTCGTTTCAACGGGCCTCGGTTCAGCAGCACGGTGTTAACGCGGTATTCCATTTCATCGAACGGCGATTTTAAATTCAACTTATCGTTTTAATGTGGGTGCTGTACTGAGACCCCTGTGTGATGTCACCTATGTTAAGGGCACTCATTCCCTTGATCTCAGACTACGATGTTGCTAGAGTTAGGACCCAAAATTATACGTTGTGTTTATCGCTGGATATAATGTAGATAGGTGAGTTTTTTTCTATGGAAATGAAACTCGCATATTTATAATTTTCTATTTACTTGAAATGTGGCAAAAGAAAAAGAATTAAACAATTTAAAGATTTATATGATAAAGGAAAATACAACAACTACATGCGTTACAGTTGTTGATTACATCCTAATTAATTAGAAAGCAATTGGATTACTAATATTGTAAGATACTCTGCGAAGATATTCATAGACGTTTATATCGCCATCGTCAAATTGTTCTTGTAATCTATTAATCCTGTTATTTATTTGAAGGTAGGCTCTATTGTTGTTGCCTACATTTTGGCCGCCTCGAATTTGTTGCAACGTTGTGGTTGTCATCGCTTGTTCGGCAAGGAGTTTTTCGACAAATTCGTAAATATTCGGATATTTTCGAATGCATTCTTTACTGAATAATTACATAGATTATAAGGTCCAACCAACCGACCAAGTCATGACTTATCGGTCGGTTCCTTGAATTTCTACCTGTATTTGTACCTCATTATGAAAATATCCCTCGCTCGAACTGTGTGATACCGCTCATTTGGGGACCGCTCTATCAGGGACTGTACTTATGGGGACCGCTGAATAGGGGCGAAATCGAAAACGAGGCTGCTTAAACGGGGTGCCGCTCATTTGGGGACCGCTGTATTGAGACCGCTCTATCAAGGACTGCGCTAATGGGGACCGCTGAATAGGGGTGAAATAGACCTAGTAGAATATGTAGATATTGTAATTCTGCATCCGAAATGGTGTTCTACGACATTTTCCGGTGGTCATGACATTTTTTATAGTCAAAAAACCACTCAAAAGTGCCTTAATAAAAATTTATGTTTTTAGAGATTTACACCGTGATATCTCGGCTCTCACACGAGATATTGTTATAATTGTTTCAGTTATATCTTGCCAAATAGTAAGCGCTTCTAACTATGCCTATTACGTCGAAAACATGATATAACTAAAATATTATAATTGTCATCAAAGTCGATAAATCGATTATTGAGAAGCGTAAACTTCACTCTGCGAGACACTTTTTTATTATTTGAGGAATCTCTATACATGTATCGTACGAATTGTAGCTGATAGTCACCAAAAGTTTTTGGTGAAAGAATTTTAGTGATAGGTCTTACCGTTTTCGAGTAAATGATATATGCACCTCGTGCCCGTCCGCGGTCCGCCTAGCAGCGCACTCGTTTGGCTGCTATCGGCGCCGACTGGACAGCCGGCTTGTCACCTGTACTGGAACGAAATCATACCAAAAACTATAATGCCAAATGGTAAGCGCAGCTGATCTGCATATTATATTAAAAGCATAATGTAACTGCCTTAGCAGAAAACAATATGAAAGTCGATTAATGAATAATTGTGCAGCATAAAGTTCACTCTTTGGGAAATTTTTTTGAATCATTGATAGTTCGTTTATTTGCTTCGGACTGCTTCCAGTAAAATGATATCCAAATATTATTTTCCATGGACCATCCAAAGAAAAATAGAATGGTTCTGTAATTGCCGGAGCCGAAGTAACAGGACATGAATCCGTATGAGTTTACCTTTCAATTTAACGAAACGATCGCGCAAATTGTGAAAAGCAAACGATTTGCAGCACACTCACAGCGCAATTAGAATAAATGAACCATTAATTAATTTTTTTATGAACCTAATCGTTAGTTACATTCTTACACAACACACGGTTGGTTGTTAAGTTACTTCGCATGTCTCAACTACTGTTATTTATATGCAAGTGAATAACAAAACAATTTAAATTCACTGTCGTTATTTAATTTTGATTTACAACAGTAGTCTTTCGTAATTAGTTAAACTGTAATAACAAAAGATCGCTGCAATTCTGCCTTTGTTCATTAAGTTGCAGTTTAATGCACTTTCAATGTCAACCTGCTGTGATCATTTCTGCATTCCCAGACGAGCAGATGATCACATGGTCTTCTAGACGTCTTTCCCCAAACATTTTTATGGCATTCCTTTGACCATCGCCGATGCATTTAGTGCTTTGATTGTGCAACCCGTTGCACTAATTGGACTAATCGTCTATTTATTTGCAGATTTCAAAATTTGGACGCGCCTGGTTCCAGAACCACGCTACTCTCTTCGATCGAAGTGCAATGGACAGCATGCTAAAACTCTTAGCGAATTCGAGGTAAACTTTCCTATAAATTCTAGAAATTATTCATATTGCGTAATTAATTAACTAATTACGGATGTGCAACGAGTTCACCTGAATCACCCACAAGGGTATAGGTTGGATAATCATGCTGCAATGCCGCATGCAGAAACCAAGATTGTAAGGGAATTACATCGAAAATACTGTGAACAAACAAAATATTTCATTTCCATAGGCGATGAAAGTGTAGTGAAATGATGATAGAAGATTTTCTGGGGGGAAATGTTCAATATTGCAATCAAATCTTATTCCCCAGAGCATCTTACAAGAGAATGACGTACCTAACTTGGATTTCAATAAACTTGAAATAATCGCAAAATAGCTCAAATAACTGATAGTGTGCCGTAAAAAGTGTACGGCTCCACAACATTGGGTAGTGTAACGGGAGCGTACCGACATTCGATTTTGTGGGCGCGAGTGTATATTATAATAAAATAATAGCCGTTTATTACATTTACACTTTGTGACCGGATTTTTATTTTAATAGAAGTTGCATCTTACAAATGGGAAATGAATGCAAGTGGAAATGTGCTTTTTTTAAATCGTTTACGATTACTTTTTTAACTTGTTCGACAAATGTGTGACTGTCGCATTACTTTGAAGAGAGTTAGACCGAGGTTTTCTTGTCATAGTCGGAATTTCGACTTTAAAAGTCAAATTTAAAAAAATAAATACCTACTAGTTGCGCTTACACTCCTTAAAAACCTTTCATTATTAAATATATTAATGGGTTAATGGGGTAGTTGCAATAAAACACAGACGTAAAGTAAAGACGATCTTTATTCGACTACAGCTTTCGCGAGAGCTTTCGTGTGATTGGATTTTATTAATGTGGCCAAGGGTATACATAATATGTATCCTTAGAAAACAAAGAGGGTTTATTTTATATATGGAAATCAAGCATGACGCCCTTCTAACAATCTTAGACATTTTTAGTGCCTTACAATTTCCCCCTTTTACCAATCATATAATATATCAATTAAGTGTGACGCGACATATTTTTTGTATACCTATTCAACAAAATAAATGTGTTAATGCCTTCCAGAACCAACACAGAGATTACAACTGGAATGAGCTATCAGCTACCGACTTCGAATGCATCCTTTGCAGCCAGTGTCTACTCGATCCCGTCACGACAACTTGCGGCCACACGTTTTGTCGAGAATGCCTGACCCGAGTCTTGGATCACGGCTTGGCGTGTCCTTTGTGCATGCATCCCCTGAAATCTTCTGAGCAGTTCAGGGGAGAAAACTTGATATTATCGCAGGCGTTACGCTCGTTAGCCTCGGACGAATGGCAGGAGCGGTTGAGCATAAATCGGCAGGTTTTAGACAAGTTAGAAAAAAACAATCAGGCACGGTTTATTTTTGGCATTATTTGATGTGAAACTAACTCGTTTGGTTGCAGATTCCTATTTTTATATGTACCAGCGCGTTCCCTAAGGTCGCGTGTCCTTTGTTCGTCTACGAACCGAGGTATCGACTGCTGGCGCGAAGATGTCTGCAATCGTCCACGAAACGTTTCGGAATGGCAGCTAAGACGAACGATGGCGATAAATTCGCATGGTTTGGTACCATGCTTGAGATTCGGGATTGCGTTTACTTAAGCAATGGAACGTCGATTTTGACTACGATCGGCTTGAGACGTTTTCGCGTTGTCAGTCGTGGTGAGCAAGATGGTTACGATACGGCGGTTGTTCAGTACATAAGTGATCGTATTGTATCCTCGGAGCAACTACCTGAACTAAGACATTTACACGAAAGGGTGCACTGTAAGACGATTCGTTGGTTGACAACGTTGAAGAGTAGATTACTGGACGAGATCGAAAGGTATATTGGCCATATGCCTGCGCTGGAAGAAAACTGGACCACACTACCTGATGGTCCCTCCTGGACATGGTGGTTGGTGGCAATTTTACCGCTAAGCCTGCAATTAAGGGTGAGTGTATTCTTTGGAATTCCCATTTGTTGTAAATTAGAGAATTCGCGCCGAAAACTTAAGTTTTATCTTTGTAACGCAAAACTCGGTCTTAAAAGACACAAATATTCTTAGACAAAAGTGTACCTTTCCGAAAATCCACACGAATTTCCGTCGAATTTTCCATATTATCTCCAAGATGGCAATTGTTTGTGGATTATAGGCATAGACCTTCTCCTTCACGTAGCTCCAAAGAAAAAATCTGGCGGTATTAAACCGCATGAGCTAGGCTCCCAAGCTGGCTGATGATTGCCAGAAATTAGGCGGCCAGGCGGCGATTTAGAATTTTGGTAATATACCTACCTCGATAATTTTAACACGTTTTGCTATTATATATAACTCTCGCCAGGAAAGATTGCCGGTCACAGAACACTTGATCCCGATCTACAATCTCTGTTTTTCGTAAAGTGCTAGCGACTTCCGGGATAGTATCGTGTCAATGTTGAACGAAAAGACTTTTTGTTCAACATTAGCACGATCCTATTCCAGAAGTCGCTCGCATCTTAATAAAAACAAGGATTGTAAATCGACACAAGGTGTGCTGTGACCGGCAATCTTTCCTGGCGAGAGTTATAGCGTTCCATCGTGACTGTCAACTAAATTGTACTACATTCTGCTGCTCAAATGTCAAATTTGGTGAAAAAAAATGGAAGCGTTCATTTACAGCAAGCATTTAACTTCCTGCGTTCCCGAGGGTGGCCCTATATTAGCAAGGATTTATACTTAGTATATTTAAATCTATTTTGGCAGAAACTATAAATGAAATGTCATTAATAATTAATACGACTTTACACTAATTCGGAGCGGATACTTATTTTCTTTGGCATAATTAAAGTCCATAACAATAGTTGAGAAAACATCCTTGCGATATAAATACTATCTGCACGTTGACAGTTTTAGAGTAATTAACCAAAGCAGAAAATAAACAATTGATTTTTATGCAATTCCTGTTGGCACGTAGAAGAGCGAGAAGACTCACATAATTAATTTTAGGACAATGCCTGTCCTCTAACAATTCAATTCTTTGCAGCAATCGCCCTGTCTGGTACTATTTCACATTGTGAAACGTGGAACTATTAAAATTTCCATCCACCTGCTGCAGGTTTGGAACTGACAGGGTTAGAAGAACGGAGAACAGACACACACACACACACCCTCTCTCTCACACCCACACACACAGTGTGAGTGAGGGTGTGGACCCTCCCACGCAGATTTAATATCATTTTTTCGGTGTGTGATGACAATTTTGTGTGTTTTTATTGAAAAATTGACGCAAGTTTTACTTTGTTGGCAAGCGCGAACACGGAATATCCGTTCTGTTGGAGACGTTTGGTCCATTACGCAGTAAAAGCATTGATTTACTTTAATAATGTTTGGAAATGTGTGAAACTTCTACAGCTCTAGGGAAAAAGTAACCATCGAGTAGACTCATGACAATTACATGTTTTTGGTTAGATAGAAAATAGTTGATGAGCGGGAAAAAAATAAATAAAATACAATAGGAAACAAAACTCGCCAACAGAAAATACCCGGAACGCACCAGTTCGATTTGTAATAAATTTGTTGTTTTCTGTTACAGGTGGGTTTCTTAGGGGGCACCAGCTTAGAAAAACGCCTGCTGGCAATCGAAAAAATGCTGGATCACCTCAAAATCCGCATGAAGGCTGTGGAACGTCAATCGTTCAACTGCGATAGTAATGAAATGTCAACCGAATCTTGCAGTCATACAGAGAGATCTGTCGCAATTCACCATCAGGACGACTAATTATCACCACCTTTTTTTGTAGTCCATACAAAACGACCATCAACATTAACAATCAAATTTAGGTTTACAGAATAGTTTTAAAAAAAGTATTTTCTATCTACAGTGTGAAAGTATATTTTGAACTGAATTTTTATTGTGTCCTATGAACTGAAATGGAATCCAAAGAGTGACTATTTATTTTTGTATCCTATATTTTTTATATTATTTTCATAAGATTAGCTTTTGTATTGAGGAAGTTTTGTGACAAACTATAAATTCATTCCACGTTTCAAATTTGTGATAAGTTGTGAGTAGTAATTAGTGATCAATCTGATGTTATTTTTAATCGAATTTGATACATACCTACTCTATTTAAATAATTACTAAAAGGGTCACTTCGTTTATAATAAAAAAATAATTCAAGTGGATCATTTACTAAGCCGTACACAAGTAGATTGGTGTAGTTTGTTACAAATTTCTGGCTTTGGTCTACTCTATAAATTACACAGTCGGATACTGTTCGCCTTTCCCTTTGGGACTCTTTAGAAACAGTAAGTTAAGTTCCATTTTTTAAAATAGCTAGTTTTTATTTTTCTTCGTGATATTAGGTTTTATAATATTTATGTTTTTATTTATGTTATGCGTTTGTACAATGAAATTTACATTAAATATTTAAAGAAGTCTTAATAATATTTTAATGGCAACCTGCTAGATATCCCTACATTAAAATCTCGTTTTCTGGAGTTTACAAGTACCTAAGTATTAAACAGGACAAAAACATTCAATAATAGTTTGTATTCCTAGTTATGATGAAATGAGTATCGATTTCAACTTCCCTATAAGTTTAGTTTTAGAGCATAGTGCACAGCACGTTATGAATGACTCAATATAGAAACATAAAAGCTTAGAAAGGTGATGGAGAGGTAATTGTTTTAGAAACACGTTTCTGGTCAGTGATTGAAATTCAATCAATTTTGGGTTTTGTATTAGTCTGGCATTGTAGGTGTGTCAATGTAGTGCGCTTTTCTGAGCAGCTGTAGAATAATGTAAGTCGATTTTTTAATTACTTATATTGCAATTGCAAAATTGACAGGTACCGATTCTATTTTATAAAATCGTCAAAAAGAATATTTTATTGTTTTTCTTATAGTGCCAACAAGTCTGGGTAGCAGAAAGGCAAATCAGTTCAACCGGGGTCGTTACGGAATTAGTATTTGTCATGTGCAGCGAAGGGGGAGGGGGGAGGTGAGAGGGTTTACATTTTTAACAAAAGATTTTTTCTCCAACCACCTGAATAAGACGCTATTTTGTGACAGTAGTGTTCGGTACCTAAAATTGACGTTTTGCGGATTAATCGCTTTCACTATGGCAACTGTACAAAAAGTGGATACTTTTGGTCCTAGTACCAAAAAGAAATTGACCTTGAAAGTTGGCCAATTAAAAAATTACAATCACGGAGATATGTCACATTGACATCGTTTTACATTGCAGGTTGTAAGATATTTCTATACATACAAATCAAATATTTTTGCATATTCAATGCAAATAATGATGTTACCTATACGTATGTACATGTATTGAAAATGATTTACGCTCGCTATTTTTATTTAAACCAAGTGTAACGTAATTTACATATTCCGTGAACGTAATTTTAATACGTATACAACCCGCCGTCGCGCGTAACGCCATCTACTTCAGACCCATTGCACTATTATCTGTCATTTTGAATTCAAAATTTGAAAAAGTTAATTGCAATTAATTTTAATTAAAAAATTATGGTAAGTTTTTTATTTCAATACAAAATATAACAATATTAATTGTGTATACAATAAAATGACTGAAACTGATAGCGACATGGATTGCACTCCGCCAGAGATTATAGAAACGGCAGAAGATGCTACCTCAAGATTTGCTCCCTACAAAGTCGCGAGAGGTGAGAAGTAAAAGGTAAAAACGAATAGGTTATAAGTTAACCTAAAAACTAGAGTGGCATGACACGTGAGGACAAGAAAGCAGAAGTTCTTATACTAGTAGTGAAACTGTGACTGAATCTAAATTCGAATATAATTTGAAGTAAAGGGGGTTGGAGAAAAAATTTTATGTTTTATTCGTACAAAAAATGCGTTTTCGGGACTCGGAAGGTTGCTGGACTCCGCTAACGCGTCGTCCAGCAACTATCTTCCTCGTCCCGAAAACTGACATTTTTTGTACTAATGAAACAAATAACTATTTCTACAACTGTCAAAAAAACCTGTCATTTTCAGACGAATTTCGAAACGCGAAGTACTAGATTTTTAAACGGTTAATTAATAAGTAAGGTTGCCCTTGACAACGTGCGCGAAATCGTCAAGAGTGAAAAAAAGTATTTCGCGCACGTGACAAAGTTGAACTTAAACAGCAAATTTAATTAACAATCGGTTCAGTTGTAGAAAAAATATTGTATATGTTACCGGCAAATTGCGAAATCCGACATTTTGCATAATCCCTAGGCATTTTGCGAAATGACCAATGCAGTACGCAAAGTGAGAAATGGAACTCGACTTCGCACTTCACCTGCTTCTCTTTAGGGATTCCGCGAAATGCCTAAATATTCAGGCAAAGTGAGAATGCTCGGTTATTTTACACAGATTGCGCGTACAGCGGTGCCAAACGTAAAACCGTCGCGTTAGTGCCTTCCCCCATTTGATATATTCTTCACAGTCAATCCAAAGCGTGACTCAACAGAAAACCCATAGAAAAAATGCAGTCTAAACGCGAGTGCAATATTTAGCGAGCACTTACAGTAAATCGCGTTGTTTACCATCCAATGGCAACGCTGTATGCGCAATCTGTGGGAAATGACGAAGCTTTCGCACTTTGCCTGCATGTTTAGGCATTTCGTGAAATTCCTAAAGAGAGACAGGCAAAGTGCGAACTACAGCTCCGTTTCTTACTTTGCCTGTTGCATGCGTGATTTCGCGAAATGCCTAGGCATTTTGCAAAATGCCGGATTTCGCAGTCATCTCATTATGCCCTCAAACGGCTTGTCAAATATATTGGCGGAGTTTGTACGCACCTGGCACCTCCGGCATTAGTCGATATTTAACTCTCGGACCGGAAGCCCTCGGGCTCTGTCGCCCTTGGCATAAATATCGCCTTCATGCCCTTGATGCATAAATAACTGTTTTATTCCGTCCAAGAATATTTATCTGTGTTACTTTGTAAATTGTTTTTAATGTGTTATGTGTTATATACAGTTTGTTATATATTCATTTAATTCAGTGGCGTATCCAGAAATTTTGTTCAGGGGGGGGCTCGAACTTTTAAATACATAAAACAATTTTTACAAGACGAAATTTAATTTCCTATTTTTTTTACATTCTACGAATTTATCAATTACCATGTCATCGGTAATCACAATATCTCTATGGATTGCTAATAATTCGAGCCCTGTGAGTAAGCTTAGGTAAGCGTAACCCAAACTGTTAAAATATGTCTTTTTAAATACCCACTCTTTTTTTCCCGTTCTTGCATATCCTTTCCTTATTGGCAGAAAATATTAAGATGATTGGCAACTTTTCGGGAGGGGCTGCAGCCCCCCCTCTGAATACGCGTCTGATTTAATTTAATAAGCAAAGTGCTTACAAGTTCAGTTTTGCACGATGAACAGTAAGTATTTCACTTATTTCTTCAGGGAATTGATGGTAGATCAGAACTTGCATCTATTTGCAAAGACAGAAGCAATATCCCCTGTGATTTTCACCATACCTACAGCTTAGGTAGGTATATGCTTTGGCCACCTTATTTATTCTCAGCTTTGTGTCTAAGTTGTCATGATGTGAAAATAAATGCATTATTATTATTATGGTCGGTGTTTCTCTTGTCAGAACTCAGGTCTAGCCTGGCTAACTAATCGCACGGATTAAAATCAAGTAACGATTAGTGTATGTGTCTGGTGAATTTATGTAGGGTCCAGAAAAAAAAATTCACACACGCACATTGGAAATCTAGGGATAGTATGTAATTCATACTTACCAACATAGCTATATTGATGGGCACAATAGCCAACGCTATCAGGAAAGAGGAAAACAAAACAAAAAAATAATTATAATAATTCCTGTAGGTTTAGCAATTTTATATCGTGTACTTAAGTGTTTCTTTTTTGTTTGTTCAGGAAGTTGTGTTTGTGTGGTGGGTTGAGTTAAGGGTGGAGATATTACAGTAGGTATATGTTGTGAGTCTAAAGTGCTGTTTAGGTTTTTGCGTTTGGGTTGAATACTAATGGGTCGTGATAATGTGGTTTGCTTCAGAAGTGAATCTCTGATTGTAGTATATGTTGTATCATTTGTTATTACAGTATGCTGTATACCGTGTTGTGAGCGAGTACTGTTGTTTACATTGTATACTTTGTGGATCATTTGTGTATGTATATAGTATCTTCTTGTGTTATGTTTAGAAATTTACAAACAATATGGCATGTGTTGATAATGACTGCTTGTTGTAAATGTTTGTATGTGTTTTTGTCTAAACCTAATAGTTGTAAATTGTGGTGTATTGTCTTTGGTATAACTACGGTGTAGCACTAAGAATAGGGGGACTATATAACAGTAGATTTCATTCTCCATTGCGTCTTAAGCTCGATAGCTATATCGGTGTATTTGCGGTGTTTTTCTGCATGTGTTTTAGTTAAGTTGTTAGTGTTGGGTATGGTAATGTCTATAATACAAATGGGTTTTTGTTTTTTATCTATATGTGTAATATCTGGTCTATTATTGTGGATAGTTTTGTCTGTGAGTAGTGTCCTGTCCCAATATAATTTGTGTGTGTTGTTTTCAAGTATGATCTGTGGCGTGTATTTGTAGTATGGTGTCTTATGTGTTAAGAGATTATGTTTAAGAGCTAATTTTTGATGTATGATTTTAGCTACCTGATCGTGTCGATGTTTGTATTCTGTTTGTGCAAGTCGTGTGCATGCCGATTTTGTATGTTGGATTGTTTCTGATGTTTGTGAAGAGTCGACAAGAATCATTTGTCACTGATTTGTCTTTATGTATGTGTTTTTTATAGTTGCCTGTGTTCATGACCTGATTTTGTATTGCTAACCCTCAGTCTCCGGGAAGATATCACATTCAGACAACCAAGTGTGCGTTGCTATAGAATCACCACAATCCTGGCTAACCTCTTGTGGAAATCGTCCATGTAAAGGCTTTTGGTTCCATGTCTGTATGTAAGCAGTTTAATGTGTATGATATTGATAACAGAATCACGCGCACCTGTTGCGGTCGCGCTGCTGATCGCGCAACTAAAAGAAAAAAACCATCATTCATAATACACAAAATTAGCTTGTTAAACGTGACAGCAATGTCCTTTGTAGGTATCTTATTAACAACAGCAACAAGTTTTCTTTTTTTTATTAACAGCAGCATTTTTTGAAATAAATATACCACCTTTTGTTTACGTTTAATACACCTTGTCTCTGATGGTAATAATCATACCCGCCATGTGGCGACGAAACGAGTTTATTAATTTTCATCTGATGGTAGGTACCTACCACAAACACCGTGTGCATGGCATCAATTGCAATTAGCGCAGAAGTTTGGAGTTTGTTTACTTCTACAATAAAGTGTTAAGTGTAATTTCTAATTGATTTCATTGTGAACGGTATAATGTTCTATTTCTATGGTATGTTAAACTCCTACGTTAAGTAGTGTGGTAATTGCTAATTCTTGCATTGTGAATGCAGCTTAAATGTTATGTCTTTGAATTAATTGTTTGTTATATTTAAATATTTTGAGATAATTTTACAATCTTGGGCACGGGGCGTATTTATTTAGGGGTTGAATCTCTTATGTGGCAATCCAATATGACGCCCTCAAAAACATGCCGCCATGGGAACTTTCTCTCCACAATTAAATTCCGAATAATAATAATTATTATGACGACTGCGTGCTTAAAAGACGCACGTACGCTAGTGTATTGGATTTGGGTCCTGATAACACCTCGCATTTGGCAATGCACAAGTGTGTCCATGAATTCGTTAGTCTATTTCAAAATCTGAGATCAGCAATTAACCAAAATGTAAAGGAATGTTGAGTTTAAATTTATAATGCAGATAAGATTAGGTAGTAAAAGTTTGTAGGTATTTTCCCAATGCATATGTTGAGGTACCTACCGTACGTGATTTTCCACACTTACTTGCACTTGAGTCACACAACGTAAGTGAGATTTAGCATATTTCCATTTTGCTTCATTAACCCCAATCTCGTATGTGTCAACTGACAAATACACGTACTTACTTTTCTTTTCTGTACGGTTCAAATCAGTTCATTTCAGTTCAGTGGTCGTGAAAAGAGTTTGCTCAAACTATATCTTCGAGATTAGAGTAAACAAACATTCTGGACGATTTCCAAACATACGTGTTCTCTCAATTTATTTTCATCCGAGCACAAACTTATGTGATCTTGCTTCGTTGAACGTTATTACCTTGGTATTTTATTGGTACGTACTTGCCTATTTTTGTAGTGTTCATTCTTAGCCCAGTAAGTCTATTTTTCGCGCATACCTGTCTTCATTCAGTCGCGTCGCGCAACCGTCGATTGTTTTTAACTCGAAACATCAGAATTACCTACTAAGAGATCGAGTGGTTTTGAAGTTATAAACGTCAAAATCTATTTTCAGGTGTGATTAAAAATGCCGAAAACTGCTGAAGATATAATTTTGCAACTGTACGCTCGTACGCCGGCTCCATGTCGAGACTATTGCGGCCTGACAATTACGCAAGAAGACGTAAGTTTACATGTTATACCAAAGAGTACCTATACGTTTATATAATCTTTGGTTATACTATCAGCTTGTTCATAACATCCATGTTTCAGGTGATAATAAACATTTGGAACATCACTTTTGGTCCACACGTGTATCCGAAGCGTATGAAGTGTCCCCTGAAAGAGCTGAACGAGCACAAATCCATAAAAGTGGAAATTGAGCGCATATTTGGCAGACATGTGCTTCACTACGCCGATTCGTTGTCGAGGAACGAAATGAAGCTAGAAAATCTGACCTCAAAGGCGTTCTTATCAGTTTTGAATTATCTTGCAGCTAAAGATATCTTAAATTTATCGCAAACGTCTAAAATGATGTTTGAAGTAATGTACAAGTGCAGGTACTTCCAATTGACACATCACTAAAACGTTTGCTCACTTTATAGCGTTGTAAGGAGGATAAAATTTTGGGAATCCTATTTAGAATGGTTTTCAACAATCAACCGAGCAACGACGACCTTCTTCGTGTAAAGCAAAACGGCTGGAAATGTTTTTTGAAGGAGAAAACGAGCTTGAGTGCCATGGAAAATGCGTCTACGGTCAATAATAAAAAAGTGGAAAATAAGTCAAGCGAAGTGAAAAGTTTTGCTAATCGAACCGTTGCCAAGCCATTCCATCGTCGTGAAAATAAAAGTGCTACCAATCTAAGTGTTTATAATAGACAGCCGTCAAAAAGGTTGCCCCATCAAGTGAAAAATGAATTACAATTACGTGCCACCAAATATGCTGCCGTGATCAAATTGGAAAATTCCAGAAAACTCAAGGGAAATAAAGATGCGGTGAACAGATTTCATTCAGCCGGGCAATACTAAATTATTATTAACAGCAGCTATAGAAATTATATACACGTGCCACATTAAAATTTAGTCGTGGAATTGAAAAAATATTAAGTATATAAATTAATTACCATTTCATTTTTTCAATGTTGCGTTTTATTAATGTTATACTATAGGTTCTAGCATTGTATATGTAATACATATACAATGGTTCTAGGGTCGCGGTCGGTTGCATAAGAGCATATTATAATAGTATATTAAGTATCAAGGGATTAAATACATAGTACATTATATATCAAGGAAGAGAAGTACAGTACCTATTATTGCCTGAGCACCAAGATTACATCTCGAGGCGCTTGCGCCGAGGGGTGCAAGGTGCGAAGGCAATAATAGACTACCGTGGTATACTTATAATAATAATAAATGTCTTTAATAAGTACCTAGGTTAAATTACATAGAAATGTGTACAAAGGGCGAGATTCAGTAATGGAATGAAACATACATAGGTACTATTTCTGCCCTTCCATCTAACCCATATATACTATTTTTTTCACTACTAGCACCTGAAATCCTCTAAATTAATTATATTGATAAGAAAGTGAACGATTGGACAGAATTGTTTGTTTCTTAATTTAACATGTCAATCAAGTACGTAGAAGTACAAGTCAAACAGGCCGTATTTTGTTCTGTCATTGAGATATTTTCAAAGAGTAATTTCGTTCGAATTTTTTCAAAATATGATAATTTTAGGTATGTAATTTCTCTGGAAATGTCGGATGGTGGCAGTTATTCATTTTAGAGAACTTGTCTAAACGTTTATTGAGCGAAATTTCGGGTTGTGTTTTCTAAAAGTGACAGCGTGACAGTTCTCATTATTGACTACTAGTTAATAATGTCCAGATTATTAACTACTTTGAACAAATGCCGAGAAAGCCTACTTTACAAGTGGAAAAAAGGTTAATAATCATGTCACCAGACGCCTAGTAGTGAAAAAACTCTTTTTTGTTACTGAAAGAATGGTTTAAAGCCCGAGGATTGCATAAAAGCAGTTTAAACCTCGATTAGATTAATTATTTGAAATTTGACCTGGGCTAGGTGCTTAAACGCAACGGCTTTGGGCTGGCAGACTCACGGGTTACTTGAGGCGAACCCCGTACCTAGCGGCCCGCGACTTTTTAGCCATATAAGAGACGCTTAGTGAAATATGTCGCCAGCTCTTAGACTATTACGGTAGGGTCTGACAAGGGGTAGGGTTTACAAATTACAGATACTTCCTAATCAATACTGTATTGACGCCGAACCTTTTATTCTTTGCTGCCTATAGGCATATTGATCTTATTTTTACATTGCACCAATTAGCAATTAGCAATTGCGATAGCGGCACTTTCAATGGATACTTAATTCTTGGTGGTAAGGCTTAACAAGTCTTGCTTGTTAACTTTGAGGGTTGAGCCAGAGCTCGTGTTTCCTACCTACCTACGGCGCCGAATCTAAAATTACCTGTTGCAATTAACTCCATATTACTTACGTTGGCGAGAGGACAACATTACCCTTTACATACCTATCGAAATCGTTGCCTTTGAAAACGTCTTCGTTAAGGCTCATTATTCTAGAAGAGCGAAAGGGAGTAAATTCCGTTAATTTATCACAAAAATCGAAATGAGAGCATGTGACAAATAATGGAAGTTTCGCAAAAGATGGAAGCGAAGCTAGTCTAAAAGTGCGTTCCTCCAGCAGATAAAAATGACGCATTACGTATTTGCCGCTTCTAAATGTCAACCTTCCAAATTTGATTGATTAGAAGCCAATTACGCGTGCGCATTAAGTCAAGGAGTGCGCTACAAGTGTACTGAATCGCGTGTTCAAGATTATTACATTGAAAGTACTTCGTAATTTACATTAATGTGCTGTATTCTATTTAATTGTGAACGCGATCGTGAATGTGCATGTAAAAAGATTCGTGAAGAACAGCACCCCAATTCGGTGCAGTGAAATCAATAGGGTGTTCGAGTGAGAATGTAACAGTATTTATGAAAATGACTATTATAATTAAACAAATAACTTTTTTAAACTTGATTTATAAATTAATAAGTCAATATGCATTTTGGAATGTTAATGATTTTTTTGTATTGGAAGTATAAGTTAAAACAACCCCTACATTTTTCATAAAAAGTTATCCAATATGAAAAAGGGAAAAGGACATCGTTCTGAGTAAGTCGTAAATATAATTGAATTATTAGTATTATTTTGCACGATGCGCGTAATATTATTTTTATAGTCAAACTTCTATTCTTCTTTCTATTATTAATGACATTTTCATAAAGGGCAGGATTGCCGGTATTCAAATTGGAAAAAGCCGTACCCGTTTATGGTAATTAATATAGCTTTAATAACATAACATTACAATTTAGCTATTTATATTCTCTTTTGGTACCGCCGATTTATGGTTTTGATGTTACGGCGGAGACTATATATTCTGCCTATTGTCACTTTCAAATATGCAAAGCAATTAGGTACTCTATTGGAATCACGGTGCGCCAATGGAAATGGAAATTCCTTCCAAAAATTCCCATTGGCTTTTCGAAATTTCTGCAAAACAATATACAAAAACCCAATAATATTGAGCATTGTAATGTAATTGTGACGTCTAATTCCGAAAGCTTGTTAGGCGATGGTAATGTGTTTCTGTCGGCTCACAGTTCTGGCTTCGCTGCAAAAAAACATAGACATGACGGTGAGTTCACATTGGTTCGAAGTACTTCTTATCATTTCAGCAATTCTCTAAATTATTTAGTCATTCCACAGAGTTTGTGTATATCTATGGTAATTCTTTATGGATCCGTTATCCATAATTCAGTTTAACATAATTATTTTATAGACAACCTAAGTGCATACATCTGTTTCTAAGAAATTAATCTGAGACATATTTATTGGTCACATGAAAGACCGGCCTTAAATGTGGTTTACATAATTCGAGGTAATCTGTTAAGTGTTAATGCAAATTGCGTATACCTATACTGTAAATTATAAAAACGTGTAGAACTTCACCTGTTACACACGGTGTAACATTTAAGAACCTTTGTAAAAACTGTATCGCTCCATGAAGGACCGATACGCAAATTCCAATTTATGAACCTATAATAATTTTGTGCTCATTTGTTGCTATTTTTTATAGTATCAGTTTTCGAGTTAAGTATTTAAATTTTTCTAGAATCCAACATCGAAAAATAAAAACTTATACGTCATATTATCCCCAGTTACTGTGGTACATGTAACAAATTGATTCAGATAACCAAGTCATATTAAAATAATGTTACAATACAGTAAAATGCTTGGAGTTGATTTTCACTGTAACGCTGGGATACAGTTGATACGCCCCCCCCCCTCCCGCGCTAACCGTTTCCTAAATGAAACTTTAATTTGAATGCGACCGCAAAGTTTCTTAACAAAGATATCAAAATTAGTCACTCCTGCGGGCAATTCCCAGCTCCAAGTTCACTTTAATGTATGTAATTTTCTTGTTCTGTTACCCTGCTGCGGTAATCGTCCACTCCAGCCTCCTCAAATCAGATATGGGTGGTTTTTTTACCCTCCGTAATGAAATGACGATTTTTTTCAATGAAACAAAAATAAACATGTTGGACGTAAGTGTTAATTTAACGTAAAAAGTAAAAAATCTATAATAATAATAATTGGGAATATGTTACAGTGACACCATGGACGAAGAGTACGAAGACAAGGACACCAAACGGTAAGTTTGTTTACTCAACGATGCACTTTGTGATAACAAACGCTTCAGAAAATCGCGAAATTTGAGCGAGAAGAAACGAAGGGACCAATTTAATCTACTGCTCAACGAGTTGAGCTCCATGGTTTCGTCCGGTGGAAGAAAGATGGATAAATCGACCGTCCTCAAATCGACAATATCGTTCTTGAAGCATCACAATGGTATTAATCAGTTTCGTAGCCATCTTCTACAATGTATAACTATTTTCAGAAATTGCCGTCCGTTCTCGAGCGCACGAGATCCAAGAAGATTGGAAGCCTTCATTTTTGACCAATGAGGAGTTTACCCATTTAGTATTGGATGCTGTTGACGGATTTATAATAGTCTTTTCCGTTTCGGGGCATATTCTGTATGCTTCAGACAATATTACGACACTGTTGGGTTATCTTCCGGTAAGTTGTGTGTCATTACCATTTACCACCGGAAGTACATCCTGAATGGTCAAAAATCTTCAACAACAGCTTAATTGATAAACAAAATTCGCGGTACCCCTAGTATTATTATTTTTTTTTGCTTTTTTTACAGTTAGTAAAGAGATGAAGGATGAGAAGTCTTGAAAAAAAAAATTATTTTGCCCATGGTGTATCATTTATGCCCTCTAGTGCCTATATTTTGAACCCGACGCAAAAAGTGTAGAAGTCTTTTTTTGTAGACCTCATCAAGACACATCTTTTTTGTAATTAACATTTTTCACTTTGATGCTTACTTTTAGAGAAAAATGAAATTTAGAAAAATAAAATAAATAGTTTAACTTTTCAATTCAAAACTTCTCAAAAACAAAGGAAGTCACAAAAAAATTGTAATGAACTTTTTTGTAGTTTTTTAAGCCATTTTGGCCAATGTATGCGAAAAAAATTTAAAAAAGTTTTTTCAAGCCGTTATGACACTTAAAATTTTGACACCCTCAACAACCTTGAAGATGGTTACGGATCAAAACCGAAATAGGACGTTTTCGATTCCCCATACCACCCTATATGCACCCCAAATATGTTATAAGATTGAGAAAGTCTGTGGTAATGCAATACCAGCATAATTATGATTGATTAATGAATTATGAACCATAGAAATAAATAAAATAGAAACTAAAAAACAGAATTGTAATAAAAAACGAATATTCATTTTTTTATAATTGTTTTAATTCCTTTTTTAATTTATGTAATTTTAAGCTTATGTAAATATTTAAAAATTTCGCGGCACCCTTATGAAGTGCTTGCGGCACTCACTTTGAGAACCACTGCTCCAAGCCGATGATGCCGCTCACTTGCTTAAATTTACCAATATAATTTAACTATCTATCTCTTAATTCGAATGGTTGTAGGATACATTTAAAGATGCATTAATAATAGCACAGATAATAGGGATTCTAAAACAGAACCATGGGGAACGCCACAGGGCAAATCTGATTTTAGCATCTGTTCCAAGTACTCGTATATAATTAAGTGAACTTTTGGATTCGTTAATCACGGTCCCTTACACAGAAAAGACACAAAAGAGATTTTAAGTGATAGTATCAGTTATAATATGCAACTAATCAACTATATTTGTATAAATTTCGCTTTCATAAGTCAAGGATACCTTATTTTCTTCGATATTATGTATATAATTTAAGGTGTGCCAACGATTATTTTCCAGAATGATGTGTTAAACACAACAATCTATGAAATGGCGACCGAAAAGGAACACAACAGTCTATACAACGTCCTCTTTACACCCGACCAAAAAGGACAAATATCCTTTTCTTGCTACTTGAAAAGAGGCGATTCAGATCTCTCGCAACGCACCTACTTTGAACTTGTGCATTTAATTGGATATTTTAGTAAGTGTATTCACGAGACATTGCTATTTACTTCAAACAACCTTGTCGCATAATTTAATGCCTTCATTACTTTTACCGTTATTGCGTTGATAAATATTCGAGGACGTTTGCAATAAAACTTCCTTCTACACCTACTACAATTTTTTTAGAATCAGATCCCAGTGATGATCAAAGTGATAGCAGATATAATGGATATTCCGAAGGGGAGACGAGGTGAGCATCCCTTATGAAAACAACTTATCTAAGTTTTGCTTGTTGTAGACAACTATTTGTCGGAACGGCTAGGTTACAAACTTCCCAAATCTTAAAGGAAATTTCCCTGAAAGACTCGTCGAAGAATGAGTTTAGCTCTAGACACAGCTTGGAGTGGAAGTTCCTCTTTTTGGATCACAGAGCGTCTAGCATCATTGGCTATTTACCGTTCGAACTTTTAGGGACATCCGGGTATGATTACTATCATGTCGACGATTTAGACGAGGTTATTAAGGGCCACAAGGCGTTGATGGTCAAAGGGGAAGGTACGTCGTGTTATTACAGATTTTTAACGAAAGGCGAACAGTGGATTTGGCTGCAAACCCGATTTTACATCACCTATCACCAGTGGAACTCAAAACCGGAATTTATTGTTTGTACGCACCAGGTCATGAGGTGAGTTTGTCGGGTGCCTTCGGTTAGTCCAGAAATACGGAAATTGCTGGGTTATAGTGTTTCACTCTTTTTTTCTTTTGTCTAATTACTTACATGTCAGAGCAAGAAAAGGTTGTGGTAAAATCTTGCGAGAAAAGGAGAACCATGCTAGAAAAATAGTGATTTATTATATAAGACGAGATAAAGCGATATTTTAGCCATTGAGTGAATTCCCTTTATCGTCGTGTATAATAAAAAACTCCATTTTATAGCAGAAGGCATATAAATCATTGTAAAGCTTCTGACAATTTTGAATTGAATTTAGAGACGTCAAAAATAGCAAGCTTAGGTTCTACCGTCGTGAACCTTTCCATAGAAACAGAATTGTCATATACAGAGTGGCCCAACGAGAAGTACTTATACAGAGGGCTTTTAGGGTATTAAATTTAGAAATTTCGAAAAATCCTCGAACACGTCAGTTTTGTATTCGAGGGGGACAACTTTTGGAATACAAATCACGAACCCAAGTCTTCACCCCTTAACGTAGGGAGCTTAACCCCTCAAATTTTAAATGGAATCCTATGGCAAATGGCACATTATTTGAAAGCCAATTTAATCGTGATTACTAATCTGCTTTGATTTTTAAATTCTATTGATTCGTTTCGGAGATATTCGCATTTGAAACCAAAACAAATGCGATCTAAGTCACCTTGTAAAATAACAAATAACTTTAAACACACAACATTTATTTTAATAAATGCTCGAATTGCCTTCCGCCTGCTTCCATGCATAATAAAGATTTGCTTCAAAACGCTGCCGTACATGTTGCAAGATTTCAGGGGTAATCGCTCGAAATTGTTGAGTTATACCATAGTGTATTCTATTCTTACACTATGGTTATACGTGCTCGCAACCCTTGTAATGTCCCGGGCGGAGTAGCATAAACTTAACTTTAAATATCTCCACAAGAAGTAATCTAAAGGACTTAAATCAGGGGAAAAAACCATTTTAAATGCGAATATCTCCGAAACGAATCAATAGAATTTAAAAAGCAAAGCAGATTAGTAATCACTATTAAATTGGCTTTCAAATAATGTGCCATTTGCCATAGGATTCCATTTAAAATTTTAGGGGTTAAGCTCTCTACGTAGAGGGGTGAAGACTTGGGTTCGTGAATTGTATTCCAAAAATTGTCCCCCTCGAATACAAAATTGACGTGTTCGAGGATTTTTCGAAATTTCTAAATTTAATACCCTAAAAGCCCTCTGTATACTTCTCGTTGGGCCACTCTGTATAATAAATAGTTATATTTACTATAAAATTTCAATTTTCATATAGAACTTTTGATTAATGTCAATCTGTCAGTGATAATAGCAGTCATTATATCTCCCGCCAAGAAAGATTGCCGGTGACAGCACTCACAGCACACCTTGTGCCGATCTACAATCTATGTTTTTTTTTAAGATGCGAGCGACTTCCGGAATAGGATCGTTCCAATGTTGAACGAAAAGTCTTTTTTACTTTTTTTACTTTTTACTGTTACCAAAGAATATATAATATACTCTTTGCATTTATTTACAACTTCATTTATAATATCTTAAGAAAAATTAGGAATGCGCATGCGCAAAACAAATTCTTTGAATTAGTTTTAGGTACTTTTATTCGAGGTGCCAAAATTTCATTTATAGTTATTATTTACATAAAAGTCAGGAAAATGAAATGGCGAGGAAATATTGAAGTACGAGGCCTCTTTGAGAAGTCGTTCGCATCATAAAAAAACCACCAATGTTTATCTAGCTTAAGAGTCTTCTGTACCCACTGTATCCAATGTAAATTTCCATAAGAGCGCCCGCCATAAAAACTCTATTTGTTTTTCTAAAAACAATGTTTTTTAAGAAATAGAGTAAAATATAATGAAGTTTAGTAACGTTTATATTATAATTTTTTCTCTATGGCTATCGATTTCGGCAACATTGCCATCATAACTCTATTCATAACGTTTATCAAAAATGGAGACGTACATCAAAAACGTTTTTTAAGAACTATTTTATAAATTTAGACCTTTATCTACAAAATGTTCGGACTATTTTTTTTTTAAAGTTTATAGCAACTGAATACCGATTGTTTAAAGATTAGATGTTTCGCACCGATTATTGCGCTAATCTGTTTTATTTTTTTACTCTCGATCAAGACGATTTATGGAAAAAGTAAACCGACAGTTTTTTAGATAAGTTACTTCTAAACATGACCCCAAAATATGAAATCATAATTTTTGTAAATAAAGTCTGTATCTTGGCGGGCGTTAAATCAACAATTTGAGTGTAACAAGTGGCGCCACTGCACAGTGTCGGTGGGAACTAACTAAGGACCAAAACAGGAGTTGACAAAGCAAGAATATCATCTTATCTCTTGCAGCTATAATCATCTATACACTATATAATGTAAAAAAGTTGCGCTTAGGTAAAGAAGACTCTTAATTCTTTGAGGACAACTCGAGGGGAATTTGAAGACCTTTATATCTATCGTTTTGGTTTGCCCGCGTAATTGATTGTATATCAAACATTGCTACCTATTAATCACACAGCTTCATTTCTAGCGGCTAGGGGTTTGTTTATAATGTGCTCTAATAAGAGAAACTTTAAACGTATGTACTTCAGAGGCACTAGGGAGATGTTTCATGGCAATTTGAAGGAATCGTAAAAGAAAGTATTGAGTTTAGAGGGATCGTCACTATTTATAATAAATTTTCAGTAGTACTCGCCAAACCTTTTTATTGGAACACGAACACGTATTTATTTGGGAAAACATAGTCCCACTTACATCTTTGGTAGTGAAAAACTAAACTCAAGAATTGTAAGTCGTATTTCCGGGATCACCTTACGCATCTGCTTCATGTGAGCTCTTTGTGGATTGAGTAAATAAACTGTTTCAGTTACAGTGATATGACGCGTGAACCAAAAGATCACAGCGAGAGCGAACAGGTGGAGGCGCCAACATCCAGCTGGTGTAACCGATTTGGCGCAAGCAAATTTGATAACGACATGTACTCTGATTGCACCTCATTGTCCGCTGAATCTCCAGGGTCGATTGTACGATTTCCACATTCCCTTATTACATTATAACTGTTCTCGTTTCAGAGATACTACAACAGCGACTCCAGTCAAACGCACCAGTACGTAGAGCAACCCCATTACGTTGCTGTTATACCCATGAAACCCGTAATTACAAGTCACCCCGTAAGTAAATCGAAATTAATCCAGAAAGACCCATTGCATTTTGCAGGACGTAGAAGTACGCAAACAACGCGCCGATTTGCAGAGGAAGCACGCCGAGCTTCGGGCGTCGATCGACCAGCAGCAGGCCGAACTCATGGCCGTATCCGAACAACTTTTTATGACCCAACTAGAATTGCTACACCCACCCACCCAACACCCGCAGGTAGTTGTTTCGATCTTTCTTCTAAACACTGACGTGCTCTTGTCTAGGTGTCAACTTCGTACACTTACAACCAACCAAATCCATTGCCATCCACTGCCGTTTCCAAGATGAGTATTGCGATCGACGAGTCACTCCCAGCAGTTGTTCAAAATGTCACGGTTTCAGCAAGTGAACTAAATTCGTCTGACATATTGTATTCGCCTACGGGGTCCAGTACATCGCTCAATTTGATCGAATTGAAGTGATCAAATCGATAGTAATTCGAGAGGAAGAAAGAGACTGTGATTACTTTGTAAGCTTCCCTGATTCTACAACTCGGGTTTTGTGTGCACTGCTCAGTTAATCAGGATTTATAAGTGCGTGGTGGTTTTTTCTCTATGACTACTAATGTCACTGCAAGTAATCACATTCTCCAATGTATAAAACTCATCCTAGTTTCATTTTTGTGTACTATGGCGAGAGGCGGGATTTAAATTTTCTATTGGTATCGTGAAACATTTTATTATGAAACTTAATTGTTTTCCGCAGGCTAATTAGTCCGGTCATAGTAGGAATAGAAAAAAAAATAATTTGTGTAGTTCCAATTTCCATTCCACGTCGGGAATGCGTAGTTGAAGTCCCCTGATGATTATGTAATTAAGTCCCGAGCGATTTCGGTGCCGCCGGCAGGACGGGAGGGGGTTGAGGGTACAATTTTGCGGTTTTTCGCCTACTTATATCTTGAAAACAGTGCTTCTTATCAAAATCGAAAGCTCATAACATTTGGTATAACTTTGTTTCTATATATTTTTTTCAAAAAAAACTCATCGTAAAAAACTCAAAGTAATGCAAAATAGTAGTATCTATAAAATAGTATTAAGTATAACGTAGCAATAGAAATGGATTGTGCTGGTCTTGTATGGTAGTGTTTATGCTTCGACTTTACCTACAATAAAAATTTGATATTAAACATAAATATAGTAAAGCAAAGATAATGTCCAATTCAGAAGTACTTAAAATTCCTGACCCCGTCTACGGCGTCCTCTTTATCTTCTTTGCAGGATTGTGGAGAGTTAAAATTAAAACAGCTTTCTTGGCGGTTGGCCCAGACAGTGGTACAAAATATACCGTCCAATAGTTATGGTATTAGGGAAAGTAATTCTTATTAAATTATATTAAATGAATTGGTTTCTATACATATATACATATAATAATAATAATAATTCATTTAATGAAATTTGAAATGTAACCACAAAATTACCGATATTGCCTAATTTATTGAGGAGTTGAAGATAAATTAGCAAATGTCAGTGATTCATGAAGGAAATTTAATTCCCTACAATTTCATAATATGTACCTACCTTAAATATATATTTACATCTGTGATAATACACTTGTGCATACGTAAAAAGTGAACAGGTATAATTAGCTATAGGGAAGAGTTCGATCGAAAACGTGAGTTTTCTGAAAATTGCTCATCTTCAAGAGGACGTAGCTTAAAAACGATGCGTTTCATCGAAAAAAATGTATAGAAACAAAGTTGTAGCAAATTTTATTTGGTTTTGGTTTTTAATGCTTTTTCTTGGCATATAATGACCAGACTAAATAACAAATGTGCAAGTGGATGGGATTCAGTCAGAATATTCAGACCATTCGAAATTTAACATTTAACTACGTTGATCCACTGTTTAATTGTTAGGTACTGTAAGGTACAGCGTTCCGGAATGTATACAGGGTTACCCGACATTCGCCGCAGCATACGAAAATGCCGTTAGCTGCGTGCAAATATGAATTACAATGCGGCGTACACTTATATAGTAATGCAGGTTTCGACGCAGCATCGGCCGACACGTTAGAAATTCCATGGAAAAGGATCATGCAGGATGAGCACAAGGAAACAACGAAAGAAAATTGTACTTTATTCGAAAGAAAAAAATACAGCCTTCGGTTACATTAAAAATGAAACAGCCTTCGGTAACACAAAAAAAGAACAGAGCAGTCTAAGAAAAGAAATTGCGTCGCATCTGCCGTTATAGTAAGTGTTCAAATAAGTCCCCGCCAGTAGCAATCGTGTAATGAAATCGGTTTTCAAATTCTGCAGTCACAGACATGAGTTGGGTATGAGTGATACCCGCAGAACATTCACGGATGGCATCTTCCAAAGCAGCAGTGTTCGGAAACGGTCCACTTGCATAAATGGAATCCAGGTGACTCCAGTAGAAGAAATCGAGAGGGTTCATGCATGGTGAGCGTCAAAATTGTGACAGGAATTATCCGATGAGTAATGACAAGTAGTGACGAATCCTAGTACCATCGCCAACTCGTTGACCAATGCTGCGTCGAAACCTGCATTACTATATAAATGTACGCCGTATTGTAATTTATATTTGCACGCAGCTAACGGCGTTTTCGTATGCTGCGGCGAATGTCGGGTAACCCTGTATATATTATATTAAACTTTTAAACACTAATGGCCGTTTGCACCGACAAATTTAAGTGAAGCTCAGCTTAGCGTAGCTTAAAATCCATGGCAATGATTATTGCGACAATGGCTGTCATGGATTTTAAGCTACGCTTAAGCTTAGTTACACTTAAATTTGTCGGTGCAAACGGTCATAAATGAGTAAACAGTACCTAATAGGCGACACAGTTGGATCGACATAAGTAATATGCTTTCTATATTCGAGTAGAATCTTATAGATTTTCATAATCTTTAAAAGTGCCACGAGACAATTCAGAATTGGAATTTTCAGAACGGTCGTAAAACAAAAGGTGAAAATTCGCTTTTTTTTACACTGAGCATATAAGCACTTGCACGAATGATCTGTGATCCCATCCGCCGCTCCACAAATGACATCTCTTGGAAAACTAATTGTCAACATTGCTAACCGTTCTGTGCTGGTGACATTGTCATGTATTTTATATCTAGAGGAAAGTCAAATTTCAAAATGTTCGAGAGATTCCTACATCTATTCATTTGGCAAATCTGTTGATACCGACATTTTGTACTCATTTTGTACTCATTTGTACCGAAAGAAACAAATTTTGTACCATTATCTTTCTTATTCTTTTCATTAGTTCCGTCCATTTTGGAATTGATATTTCATACCTGTAGTGCAAATCTTATCCTCAATAGCCGAAATCGGACAATGCTCGAAATTTATAACCATTAACGCGTTGTGGGCACTGCGGTTTACTCCGAATGCGATAAGAGTTTAGTTTTCCGACGAATGGGTAAATCAATTTAATCAAAACACGTTCTGGGCATATTTATTCACCCACAATGCAAAGCCAAATCCCATGCGCATCCCCTGTTTCGCATTATGGGTCAGGGTATCTTTGTTTGCTCATGTCACGTTGCGAATTTTTATTTTTATAAGAGTAGAATGTTATTTCTTGAACAAAAGTTGCATTTTCCATTTACTTTTACTGTTTCATTTAAAGGCTCTTTGGCTAATTCTTATTACATGTTATATTACACGCAACGCGAAGTGAGCAAACCAAGATACCTCCACAATCCAAAGCAAGCGCACATGAGTAGGTTTTTTTAACTATTCTTCGGAAACTAGACATTGCGGATAAACTGCACTGGTCACAATGCGTAATGGCCAATGGGTATACATTTCGGACAGTGTCCGATTTCGGCTATTGAGAATAACACAAATAAGTACCAAATAGTTATAAATCACATTAGACCGTCCCTCGTATTGAAGTGTTACATTAAGTGTTGCTATATGTTTTGTATGAATATAAGTTGAATGGTTTATTGAGAACAAGTGATATTTTGTGACAAAGTTTTTGGATAAGTGATGTTGGCTGTGGGGAGTGTATTGTGTTATGTCTAAGAATTTGTGTTTTTCATAGGTCCTACCAAATGACTAAACGGAACTAATTAGTTCATTTTTACTTGGTTTGACAATCATCAAATTGTTAAATTACTGTCAGCATTTTTTTAAACTGATATAGTACATACGCATAGGAATTGTGACTAACATTCGATATAGTTACTTTATACTCGTATAAGAGAGTTCAGTCGACGGCTATTTTGAAACCATTTCGAACTGCCTTTTTTTATTAATTAAAAGTTTTGCTTCTTAATTTTGCCCTAGCTAGAGGTTTAACTTCAAATTCGCTATAGGATCCAAAATTACATGGTGTGTAAAATACCCATATCTTTCTCAGTAAGTATGCTAACGTCACCCACAAATTACATTTTGGTGATATTTTGTTCTTATTCGGGGATAGCAAGATCGATTTACGTATAGGTACGTAAATGTCTCATGTAACGTTGATGTGCATGACGTTAAGATATTATAATAGTTTATATATTTGTATTTGATGTAATGCCTGTTAACTGTTGGTCGATTTTATAAACCCGAATGAAAGTTTGGAAGTCGGTGTCGCTCATGTGTTGATCTCTTTCGTGGTGTTTGTATTTATGTTAGTACCTATTCTTTGTAATTATTATGTTATGTAAACCCATTTTGTATGAGTGTTCTGCAAGAATCCGGACTTATTCGTTTTAGAGTAATTTTAGTTTGAAACGTATCAGCTCGAAAGAGAATTTCTGAATTGGTTGTTCCATGTGATAAAACAAAACATAGATATAATGGCGCACAAATTGGTCTTATAACGATTCCATTTCTATATATTAATGTGCCCAGCGTTTTCAAAATATTGAACAAATGTAGACACAAGTCACCAATTATTGACTTGTTTCTGTCTCTTAATCAGTTCCGAATGACCCAAACGCCGACAGAATCGCTTAGCATAGTGAAGCGGAAGCTCGACGGCTGAGCTGACGGTCTATGGTTCGAGCCATGGATCTTTGTAAGTGTATTGATTATTGGAATAGAACCCCGGCCACACAAAATAAAATAAATAAAATGATTGTATGAGCAAGCGACCCAGCGGGCTCAGTGTTTTGGTTATTCCACAAAATGTCCTAGGCTCGCCAATTTGCTTGTCACTGATTACCAAGGATTTGGCGGGTTACATAAATAGCCTATAGGTATTAGGTACCCACATTAAAGTTGCTGTTAATATAAGAGTAAATTATTTTGTTACTACAATTAATGTGATAATGGTTGTTAACACTCAAGAATGTTGTGAACTTCTTTTTTTGTATAAATAGCTTTAGATAAGACAAAAACTTAAAATATATGTTCAATGTCATTGTATGGTTTGTGTTCCAAATTTGTTTGGTGGTTTACTACAATATAGGAATCTATCAAAATCTTGGCGACGTATCTAAATATCCGTGACACTGTTTTTATTAATTATATTGATATCACCTGTACTTATAATAGTAAAACTTGTGTTGTTCATAGGCACGTAATGAGTAGTCGGTTCGGTCTACATATGTAATTGTTTCATGCAACTGTTGATAATAATCAGTTCAGTAGCATGTGTTGGTACTTAATTTTTAAACAGAATTTGATAATAGGTGATTTATCTATAAAATCGGATTATGCACAGTACCGACTATTACGGTGTCATCAGTGAACAGCGAAAAATAGACATCTCATCTTCAAAGGACCACTCTACTGGTTAAAGCTAAATGCATTTCTAGGGGTTGAAAAATTGTCGAAAGAATGGAGAAAGGTTTATGTTATGAACCTACGTTGGTAGACATTGTATGTTTAGTGATAGATTGGTATTGAAAGTAGGACCAAAAAGGGAAGAACAAAGGGTATCTTCTAAGTTTCCAGTATCTTCTTTTCGTAACCGATATAATTTTACAAAATTATGATCAGGTAGATCACAAGGATCATTCGGAATATATCGTTCTTTTTCTGTCCGTTCAATATTTTCTATTAGGTGCATTCAACTCCAGTAACTCATTATAATTGGCCATTGCGCGAATTACACGGTTATGTCAAACAAAATCGTCAACCACTTGATTACCATTTTCAAAAGCGTTTCTACTCGTTACCACTTTGCTAGGTGACCTTCATCGTTAAGCTTCGATCTAGTTAACGTAAATTAACATCATAAACGCTAGGCGTTCAAAAAAGTGCTGAGCGTTTCCATAGTTACAGAATACGGTCCCGGGCTCTTTGTACTACCTCCCTGACTAGAGATGAACCTCTGATCGTAAGGGCTAGTTCAAAAACGGAACGTTTAGTGACTTCATTCTGAAACGCATTGCGCTATAAATAATGGTGGGCTATTATTCACTGCAGTGGGAATTTGGCTTTGGCCTGTACTTACACAAGATCTCGACGCATGCCTCCGCGAACCTGATGCAAGTTTGCCTGTGTTAGCAATCAATACGAACTACATTGTACTGAATTTTCCATTTAACGAGAAGCAGATATTGCCAGAGCGATACCAGCAGTTTAGCTGTATTTCATTGTAAAAGATTTTTTAATTAGACGATTGTTTCCATTCCGTTTCTGTGAATTCCGCCCCTCCATCACCCCCCTCACTACAGCTGTTCTAATCTTATTTTATTTTATTTGAGTGAAAGAGGAGCTCTAAGCTGTACCGTGCACGATGCCCGGCGAGATGCCCGGTGTTCCTTTTAAGAAAGCTTCGAGCTCTGACGCGCCCGAAATTGGATTTTTCTTGTTCCCTCATGCACATCTATTTTCTTGGGGCTTGAAACACTTTTGTGGTTATTTATGAACTGTGAATGCCAATTCAAATGTGTGCAAAATGAACAACTTGCAAAATGAGCTTCTCCGAACGAACTGCACCAGAGTTTCACGCACTCAAATGGAAAGCAGTAATTGTTGCTCTCAACTCGTGCTCCACGGTTGTCAGTTCAAGACTACCGTAAGTTACCCCGCGAAACGGTAGTACATTACTTTACCATCGGCACCACTAGTTTTGTTTTCGTTACTTTCATATTTTTCCCAATAAAATATCCCTCCTCCCGTAGGAGAAAGAGACATGGGTTGAGAAAAGAAAAACCTCATTTTGTGTAAAAATAATCATCCGTAATTACAATAAAATAAACATTTAAAATAAATTATCTCCTAAATGCCCAGTATACAAGTTACATAGAACTATGTTAATACCTTCATAGATACCCACTACCCACATTACAATTTCCTCAGGCAATCTAATAATATTTGCATTTCTTGCGTAACATTCTGCACTAAAGTTTCTATTTGCGGTTTGGAATCCAACACTTCGATACTTTCGGTGTATGCATTGTATCTGACTCCAAACCTCCTTGGAATTGTCGCGGCATATTTTCTACGGAAAAATCAATGAAAATTGATGGATGATGTCTTACTCGTAAACACCTACATCATTCTTTCCTTTGCATCCTCAAAACTTTCCGCAACGTAGTAGACGGGTTGATACTCGGTGATTGGATATTTTTGCATCGCTGTTTTCGCCGGTTCGAACGGCCTTATCTCCGGCTTGTCAGTGAGGGCATACTGAAGCTCCCCATACGACGACAGGAGTCCCGCTCCGTACGCCTTGACCTCACCGTTTTCGTGACAAAGGCCGAATTCAACGGTGAACCAGAAGCACTAAAAGTTCACGGGTGAGTCCTGGGGGGTTGCAAAGTATCAGTCGTGTTACCGTTGCCAACTTCTCGATAAAATCGTCTGGTGCGCCTAAGGATGCCAAACCGATCTCCTGGGAAAATTGCGCGAAAGCTGGGTCTGCGAACAACGGCGCATGCCCCAGAAGCTCGTGGCAGACGTCGGGTTCTGGAGTGTAAAATGGCCGGCTGGAGTGGCGTATGTATTGTGTCGAGTGGAACACTCTAAAGGCCAAGCCGGCTAGGAAATCGCGAGAGGAAAGTAAGCCGGCCACGGGACGTAAGGTGAATCCTGTACAGTCTGCAAAACAAACGTTAGAACTATAGATGACACTTTGGGCTAGTCCTCATACCTTTGAGGAAATTTGAGACGTCTTCCAGTTGGGGAATGTTATCCTCTCGGTAACCGCAGTTTTGCATTAATAGTGGGAAGACGTGGTTGTGCTCCTTGCACGCGTGTGTTCTATAGAGCGTGTGTAGCTGCTTGAACACCTTCCCCCATGTCTCAGTTTCTTCCTTCGTGTAATCGACGTGAGGGAGCGGTTGGCCGTGCTTGTAGTGGTAGGCGATGTCAGCAAAGTACTTTCGTCGCTCTCTGTAGACGGCATCGGTAAATCCTGGATGATCGGAGTCGAGCTCTGCACCGTAAGACAGAATTTGATTCGCGAACTTATCCAAGTCGCGAATGCGACGGGGGAACCACGGAACAGTGTTAATATTATCCTTGTAATTGCGAGATATGATGGTGAAATGCTCGCTTAATCCTCGAACTTCAGTGATGGCGGCTCCCATGTCACCACCAGGTGCGCATTCCACCATAAATTCGTACCCGCTTGGCGTTCTGGAAGATGGACGCGATTCGATGTGCATAAGGTTGACTCCATGACGCTCGAAAATCTTCAGGTATCGTGCGAGAATCCCAACCTCTTCCTCTGGAGGTGAAAAGATCAGGCAAGTACTTTTCGCAGAGTCTCGTCCTGGTTTGATGTAGTTACCCCCGGGCATTAGCTTGGGCTAAAATTAAAAAAATTGCAATCACTATACAGTATTCAAAATAAACTCACATCTTCAATTATTTTCCGTTCATAAAGAACCATTGTTTAAATGAGGCTGCTGTTATAATGAGATGATGCAGAAACGAGCGATTTTTATATGGCTAAATTTGCACGATAATTACTGCAGTCATTACGTTGGCATTGGTAAAACCGATTCATTATATTTCCTTTTTTTGCATCATTCATGCCCTTATGAAAGCCTAATTAAGATTTCATCATGCAAATCTATCGCAAGCACAGCACATGCGTAATATTCCGGGGATAGTTCCCATATCACTTAAGCCAAAAGTGAGATTCATTGAGAAAGTTTAAACCGTGGCGTTGTTTTCAACAGTCTTTAAAAAACGCCAATAATAAAATTAATTATAAAGTGGCTGTGACTTTGGCACGCCCAATGCTCATATAATCGGTATTAGTTATATCACAGATAAATTGGGTATTTTATCTGTGGTTATATTGAGATTTAAAAAAAACGGTAGGTCACTATCTCACACTTAACAAATTATGGAAATAAAAACTATTGTTTTTGACACATCTATAAAGTACGTAGTGGACTGGTTCAATTAACCACAATTTGTCTTAAAGACTTGTTATCATTAAGCGATACCAGTCGCCTTGGCCCGATATTTTAGTAAATTGCATTGAAGGCTACAAATTTTGTGGTCCAAAAAGCAAAAGTAACAAAAAAACTCACTGTATCAGGAGGGCTTCCCGTTGGAGAAGACTCCTTCGGCGTCGATGGTATCGGTATTGAACTTGAGCGCATCATTTTAAAATGAATTAGTTTGTTGCACACCTCGAATGGAACTAAAGAGAAATGCTAACTTCGGTTATTTAAACAATCTGTCGTGGGCAACAACTCCAGTTTCAACGTTGTAAAATTCGCATCTTATTCAAATGGCATAATTTTGCACAATTTATGTTTCTGGTTTACATTTCCAGTTTCCCAACATTCCTTTCAGTTAGTAATTATTACTAATTGGGTTGATATCAGTAGCGCCACTTTCTCGTGTGTGACACACCTGAACCATTGCATACCTACCTATTAATAAATATACAATGTCTGAATGTGGTGTGCAACTGAAATACTCACTACGCTACTGTACCGAAATGGTATCAACAAATACGTCAGGGTACACACCCCTTTGACGAACGCACAATAAACGTAGTAGGAAACTACCAAGACACACCCTCATAACTTCAACAAACACTCAAAAACACAACAGACTAAAAGACGCATTTTTATATGCGTTATATAACATTGGCAGGAAATTTTTCTGCGTTTTTGATTAACCTTCATACGACCAGTTTAACAGATAGATCCGCATATTTAAATTGGTTACTAAATTGTTATAAATTCATTAAACTCGACCAAATAAACCAGTCATAGAATAATTTGCGCTGCAATGTCGGCGGTAGGGTTTCTGGGTTGGCCTTCATATGCATTTGGGTTTGTATAATTATCGGTTTTGTTTTATTGTGATCAAAAGTGCCTCGACTCGACAAGTTTAATAATGTGCCTTGGCACTCTATTGCACCTGCGCTGGAGTAGAATGTTTCGGTAAAATTATTTTGGATTGACGCAGTAATCTAGCTTATTTTAATGTAAATTACGTTAAGTGCCGATACCATTCTTGATCACACACGGTCACTGCCGTGAAGATTTATATTACTGCGTATCTACGTTTCGCTCTGGAAAAGTTGCGAGTTTAGGAAAGTTACAAAATAACGAAAAAATAAACCGATACAACGGCATATCGAAGGATTCTCAGTATTACCAATGTATCACTTTTTTAACGGCCATTTATTTTAACCTTGCAAAATACATACAGGGTGACAATTTGAAAGCTTACCACCCCCCATATCTTAGTAAATAAACGAGATATTTAAAAAAATCAAAATCCGTTTCGGTAATTCGGAGGGGGAATCACAATGACATAGTTGGCGACGCACCCCCTCACACCCCCTGCGCCCCAGCCACCCCAACTTTAAATCTTAAATAGTGACCCCCCATGTGTGATACGTCGTTGGAAAGCTCTGAAAAAATGCTTTCCAACCATACCAAATAGCATTACATTTAGGTTAGTAATTATCGTGCAAATCAAAAAATAAACATGGAAAATCGTATTTAACTTGAACTTCGAAAGCCGACTCGACAGCAACTCATTTTTGATCGCCAGTTATAATCTATTCTCAAACTCTTGTCGAACCTTTTCAAATGTTGGTTTTGCAATATTTCGACATTCTTGAATTATTCTCTGTCTTAGTTCGTCTAATGTTCGCCGGTTGCGTTTTAAATACGACAGATTTCAAATGTATCATATTAGTTTATTTTTTGATTTGCACGATAATTACTAACCTAAATGTAATGCTATTTGGTATGGTTGAAAAGCATTTTTTCAGAGCTTTCCAACGACGTATCACACATGGGGGGTCACTATTTAAGATTTAAAAGTTGGGGTGGCTGGGGCGCAGGGGGTGTGAGGGGGTGCGTCGTCAACTATGTCATTGTGATTCCCCCTCCGAATTACCGAAACGGATTTTGATTTTTTGAAATATCTCGTTTATTTACTAAGATATGGGGGGTGGTAAGTTTTCAAATTGTCACCCTGTATAGTAAAACAAATTGAAAAAATGGGGTTTTTTCCCAACGATCTTGGTGCATAAATAATGATTTTGGCATGTTTTGTTCAAAATACATGTGGCCTCAGAAAAATAATTTAACATCTAATAATCGCACATGCGTGGTTATCATATCATGCGAGCAGTCTTATCCCTGCAGTATACAGCCACAAGACAACCTTCGGGAGTAATCTCTAGTCTGCCAAACGCGGCGACTTTGCCAGAAAGCCCTCTTTGCTTCTTCGGCTTTGAGCTGAATATGTTTGCTCCAATTCAGTTTTTTGCCAAGTATGATACCTATAGATATTCCACCGACTCTGAAAATTGGAGGTGTTCTTGGAATAGCAGGGGAGAGTTCGAAGACCCTCTACCTTTATTTTTCTTGTGAAGAGAACTACCTCCATTTTGGTCGGGTTGATTGACAAGGAGTATTCCCTACACCATTATTCGGCTGTTGTAAGAGCTGATTGCATCAGTCTGCATAGAGTAGCCTCAAACTTGCCCGTTATTAGTATAGGTATGCATACGCACCAGCGTACACTAGCCCCTGTCATTGATGCGACAGACGAGGCTGTTTACAATTAGGTTCCACAGAAGCGGCGATTGCTATCACCTTGGGGGCATCCTCTCACTACTGTGTTTCGTCGCCAACGTTGGATGGGTGCTGATCTAAGATTCAGCAGCTGCGCAATCCAGCCTCGTACGACTTTCGTTACGTCGTGGTGGCGTAAAGCCATATATATTGTTTCGCAGGTTGTTTTGTCAAAAGTCCCTTCTATATCTATGAATACTCCTAGTGTGAACTGTTTCGCCTTACGACGCAGTGCAGGGCAGACTCTGTAGATCTTCCTGGTGAGTAGGTATATGTGTGTTGGTTAGGGTGCAGCGGAACCCAACGTGTTAGCGCCGTATCCCTTATTACAATCTTTCAAATAGATATCAAAATGATTGGGCGGTATGCTTTAGGTGTAGAGTAATCACGCTAGGTTTGCGGGGATAAATTTCGAAGTTTTATTACGCAGAAGAAAGTTCGAGAAACCTTAGGCGGTAGTGACAGGTTTTATTTTTTTGGGTTTGTCTATGAGAGGATATCGCAATTTGTCGTGGTGCACATGCACATTCAAGACTAGAGTTGAATGCGTTGTTTCTTATCCTTTTCAGGTTCTTCCATACCTGCACTTCGGTTGCAGGGTTGGGACAAGCAACACGACGCACATACTTGGAATGACGGTGACAATTTGGACGGTCGTCGTGTTACGGAGCTCGGACTGTTTTAGAGAACCGACGTCTTTATGTGGTCAATCCGTACAGCAAAAGTTGAATAACATTTTAATGTTTCTGACCCTAAACGCGAATTGATAGAAACCATTGACAACTTGTCCAAGACTGGCGGACAACTTAAAAATCATAAAACTCTTCCTTGAATTATTGGCTCTGATTAACAAATGACGCTAGATGGCGAAAATGCTGTAGGTGACAGTGACCCCAGAATTTAAGCGAGTGATCGCACATTGTGCAAAGCTTAGACTTTGAACTTCATTCGGCGGCCATAATTAATTCTTGGCGCGCCTGAGTGAACTTGAAATTGCGAAAAAAGAGGAATTTTTCGTTTTATTTGCAACGATTAGCCAACTCGCAATGTAAAAATTTATGCCGGCGGCCGTGCGTTTGATGATTCAAAAATAGACATGATTTTGAGTTGAGCGTGTTAGGTAATGCCTGAGACGCAAATTCGTAAACAACTCCCCAAGAGCGGATTTAAATATGTAACTAGCAACATTTTAATTCCATCAGTTCTTAATGAAAGAGTGTACACGCCACTTTCCTTGGAAGTTTCATTTCTGGTTGATGCGATCATGAATTTTCTCTATTTGGTAGCTTTATTGTCGATTTGCTCTAAAGGTGAGTTGCTTATTGTTATTCTTTGCCTAACAGGCCAGGTGCGTCTACCTTTACATGGTTTGGTATATATCTAAATTCGCACATAAGTATATGAAATAAGAATAATAGAATGCCTAATTATACATTTACCTGCAGGTGAGTGCAATTTCGTAAGTCATGACGAATTCAAGGAAGTGTAACCACCTTCATTTTACGAAATGACAACTGTCGTGTGGCCATTCACTCCTGTCGGTTTATCTTTTTTCTCCAAATATCTGTTGCAATAATTACGAAGTGCGCGATGACCCCGTTCGGAAATAGTTTTTCACATCCATTCGGTTTGTTAAATCCTTTCAGTCCGCTTATCTCTGCCATAAAAGTTTGATATTGAATAAAACTTCCGTGTGGGCTGCTTTTGGCTTATAGATTTACTCTGTCTGCATGTGGTTTCGAACCATTGGGAAAAAGTGTCGTCATACGACTATTGTGGTATGCGGTCGTGAATGTATCTATATTGTATAGCTTTTTTTTATTAGTGGTGGGGCTTCGTTAAATGAAAAATGATCGAGGGTGGTTATGCATAATATGTAGTATACGAGTATTATACCAAGGGACTAAAAAGTGTTTTTTTTAATCTTGAGGGTGCAGATTGTTGCCCGAAAGGTAGGTGAGGACCCAAGGTTAGTATATTACAGGCACTAACAAGCCACTCGATCCCCAATACTGGAGTTACGAGGCAACCTGTAATATACTAACCTTGGGTGAGGGCAACAAGCACCCGAGGCATTAGGACGCACTTTAGTCCGGTGTGCTGTGGTATATACGTTATTTTTTGTACTCCTGCAGTCAGCTACAGCAGTTTATTATTTCAATGTTAAAGCCCAAATTTGAAAGAACAACAATTTGTTTGATTGTAGCATCAATATACCTACCTATATAACTCTCGCCAGGAAAGATTGCCGGTCACAGCACACCTTGTGTCGATCTACAATCTATGTTTTTCTTAAGATGCGAGCGACTTCCGGAATAGGATCGTGCCAATGTCGAACGAAGTGTCTTTTTGTTCAACATTGACACGATACTATCCGGGAAGTCGCTCACATCTTTAGAAAAACATATAGATTGTAGACCGGGAACAAGTGTTCTGTGACCGGTAATCTTTCCTGGCGAGATGTTTATGTCAAAATTGCGACCCTATAATAATAATCAAATGTCAGTTTAAAATAAAAACGACAGCGCAGGAATGATCCTCCCAAATTCAGAATGATAGATGGAAGTCAGTATAAGTATAAAATATGGTGCAAGAACTAAAATTAAGTGAAATTTAAGATCTCCCCATGCAGTTAAGTTTTCACTGATTCCATTTACCCCATTCTGCGCTGGAACAAAGCAAGCCACCCTTCAGTAAGGCAATATATTAAATTTTCATTTATTCACGTTACAGGCAGTCTCCACTCACTTCAATCGGAAGGTTTACACGAGAGAGATTCCAAAGTAAGATTTCTACCCACAACTAGCGAACAGACGGGTAACTACTGGATAGCGACAGACCGCATTAAACGCAACGGCGATAACGTAACCGGCATCTCACCACCGACGACACGAAAAAGAAAGAAGGCCAGGGTAGGTACAACACCAAGAAGCCTAAACATTACCGGAATAATCGGGTACCTAAATGAGAATATAGGCGACAATATAAAGGTGATTAACCCACAAGTTAGTGCGCATTTCAATGATTTCGGTCGTTCGGTTATTAAGCACGATGATGTTGATAACGTGATGGTGAATTTGAAGGATCTACAGAAGAATGTGGGCAAATTTGAATGCAATATCGACAACGGTGGTTGTTCGCAGTTCTGTAGCGAGGCGAGTCACAGGAAGTGTAGTTGTTTTAGTGGATTTGTGCTGGCTGGGGACGATAAGAGTTGTTTAGGTAAGCGTTTGGTAGTTAGGGGGGGGGGGTTGATTAACCTGTAATTTTTAGATATTGACGAGTGTTCCAGTGGTGGAAATGGGTGTTCTCATTTGTGCATCAACACGCACGGCTCTTATCGGTGCGCGTGTCCTCGTGGTTTGAGGTTGGGTGATGATCAGCGAACTTGCGGTGATGTCAACGAATGTCTGTTGAGGAATGGCCACGGACCTTGTCAAGATAAGTGTGTTAACAGTCTAGGGTCGTATGAGTGCAGCTGTACCTTGGCAGGCACACGGTTGGGTTTGAATCGACATTCTTGCGTGGATATCGACGAGTGCACAGAGGGAACGAGTGGGTGCTCACACGAGTGTATTAACGTAGTAGGTGGCGCCTTTTGCACTTGTCCTGCTGGAATGGAGTTGTGGAGCGATTACAAAACATGTCGCGAATCTTCAGGTTCAATGGAACAAAATGATGCACCCGCAGTTGCAGTTGTTGCCAAAGATGAAAGCATCTGTCCGCCGTTGGCTGCACCCGAACACGGCTTCTTCTACTGCTCCCAAAAAACAACGGGGTATTCCAATCGAGAGGATGCACTCTGCCAACTAGTCTGCCCTAGCGGCTTTAAGACGCTTGGTGACTACAAAGTGATATGTAATCCGAATGGAAAATGGAATGGACCTAAAACCGGAAAATGCCTGGGTATGTTACTAATGCTCGAGTTCGCAAATTAATCTTTCTTCAGCAATTTTAGAGCGAAATTTTAATCCGTTGAGAAACTATATCGACTTTATATGGGGTATGTATGTAAACGTTGCGTATTCGTGTTATTCGAGTACCTTGTTTTCCAGATTATCCGAAACCAAAGATAATATGCTCCGCTTCACGCTTGTTGTACGTGAAGAAGCAAGATCGACTGGCTTACGTTAGCTTTTCACTGCCGAAGACGAATGTAGATTGGAGCAACGTCCAGTCGTACCCTCCCGAAATCAAGAAGAATTTAGAAGCTTATCTACCTCAAGGAAACCACTGGGTAGTATTCAAGGCTACACATCCCGAAACTAAGCTTACTGCCAAATGTATTATATCTATAATTGTGAAGCGAGAACCTCAAGAGTCCATCGACGGATCATGAACTTACGTGTTGGATCACAACACACTAATTAGTAAAAACTTTCGTTTACAGTTTATCGACAAAGATTTTGTGCCAATTACACTGTGATTTACAATAAATGTGTTCTTTCGTATAAATGGAAGTGCAACAACTTAACTTTATTAAATGTTTGTTATGATTTTATGGTTCCGAATTCCGATCCTTCTCTTTCCTGTGGATTTCTGCGTGGAGCTCGTTGTTTTGAATCTATTACTTAGTGTGTTCATAACCTTTTCGTAAAATAATAATAATACTGCGACAAAGTCCAACCCCTTTCTCCTAGTGGTGTTGGCTGGAAACGCGTAGACGGATAATGGGGCAATGGCATCCACCTCTGGGTTAACCTGCCGTTGGTGTGTTTTGGCGGGTTCCTAAAACAAGAGAACAGAAACGTCAAGGTGACTGGTGACTGGTGAGACAGATTTCGTTGAGCCTGTCATTCGGAATCACCATATCCAATCTCACCTAAGCCTGTGCGAAACAAGTTGCGCACATTTGGGGACATTGGCAGTGGCGTAACAAGACAGCTCGGGGCCTCGGGGCAAATGGTCCTCGGGGCCCCCTATAAGTACTAGGCACGCATTAAAGTTTTTAATAAGAATCGTTTAAATAAAATCACCTTAAAACAGTCATTTTTTTAATCTATACTTCTTATTAATTGCAAAATATAAAATCGGAACATACTAAACGTTTAATTTTTGAAATAATAATTACATACATATTTGACGAGCCTAAGTTATGTAGAAAATCTAAAAGTCTCTTTTTCTACCCTTGCATTTGCAAATCCTTGATTACTTGGGTCAGATCCATTTCCGACGCGATTTTAGATGCAATTGAAAGAAATGCTAGATTGATCAATCTTTTCTGACCCATTTGAGATCTTCGATAATTTTTTATGATTTTCAACTTACTGAACGATCGCTGGAGACTTGCCACAGTTACAGGTAATGTTAAGAATAATAAAAAGTCGTGAACATCTGAATAAAATCACTCTCGAGAATCCCATATTGTTTGATGATTAGTTCGAAAAATTCGTTCGTTGACATTGTGCTAGTCAAATCACTAAAATGAGGCATGGCACACATTTTTATATTTTGTATACTACACATCGTTTTCTACGTGTGGCTGGCACCTTTCGGGTTGCGGGGCCCCCGAGATTGCGGGGCCTCGGGGCATTGCCCCGAACTGCCCGATGGTAGTTACGCCACTGGACATCACTACGGCTATGAACAAGGTAATATAGAATCGGAGCTGATGTTGTTGAATCCAAACAGAATCAACCGACGGCCTCGGTCAATACTGAGAACAAGCAACGTGTGAAATGGATCTGATACTTACTACGCTGCTATTTTCAAATTACACAACACGAAACGAAAGGAATTCAATATGGTGCTGCTTTATACAAGAAAATGCTAGATAGGTATCCGGAACTACAACACAAAACCATGCAAAACATACTTGATCAGAGACATTCTGTCATGCATAATAACCGCGTATCCGCTGATATAATAAACAAGATCAATCAAACAAGAGGTATGTATAAAGAACTGAGGGAAGAAGAAACTGGACATGAAGAGGGGTTAAACAATTATGATGATGACAACTAATAAGAATAACCTCTGTTCTATCTTCCAAAATTTATAACCACTTACTAACATAATAACGGACTTCTAGACGAAGAACATAAAGGATGTAGAAAGCGTTCCAGAGGATGTAAGGAGCAAATAGTGTTAGATTCTATTATTACAAGACACTTTAAAAAGAAAATGAGATCCATTTTGTCTCAGTACTAATCGAATCGTTTGTGGGTGCGGTTGCACGAATATTTTAAGGTTGGAGTATAAGAATTAGCTTCCTGGCAAAATGGAAGCGGGGAAGGAGACGTAAACATTTTTCCATTTTCAACCTTACGTACGTAGAGTAAGTGATGCCTCTGGTGAAAAAAAAAAATAGCAAAATCAATTTTAGTTCACGTTTGGCCATTACAAATAGATATACTAAATCGTGTTAAATAAATTTTGATTAAGACCAGTGCCCAAACGAATGCATTAATTTAGATGATATCGTTGAAGAAGACCCCAACTTAGGTGTGGATACCTATTACATTACTAAATTATTAGAAATAAACACTTTATAGCCTCACAAAGTCGAGTTTACGCGACACGCTAAATTATTTATTTTTTTTACAAGTTTTAAGTAAATAGTTCAGTTTTAATGTATACCCAGACCTAAGTTGAATATGTATCTTACACACTCTAAAAAATCTCCGCGATTGATGCATTCGTTTAGGAGCTGGCCTAATTTGAAAATCATATGTAAAGAATACATCGAAGGTCTCTAGCTGTACATACCTACAGATTCGGTTGAATTGGCAAAGTTGTGTAGTCTTTGATGCTGTTGGGTATTCCGGTACGATATTTTGAAAAAAATAAATCATTTCGTAGATAATTGGAAAAAAGTGAAAATCTCCATTTTTAAAAAGTTTCAATATTTTAGTAACAAAGAGAAGCTAAACAATAAAATCTAAAAAAGTTAAATCCAAAACTAATATTATATCAGGGATCAATCTTTGATGTTTCAGTTAAATTTAAGAATCTCTTGTTTCCATGGAATGATGGAAATTATAACTGGTCACGAGCATCGCACGGCACCATGGCAAGTAGGTATGTAATAGAATCACGTCTTGCACAAGCCTTGGCGACTTACCGTAAACTTGCAACAGATGTCGATGTTAAAAAGGTCAAAGTTTATTTTTTACAAAATTACTTAAAAGTACATCCTAACAACATCTGTGATACCAATAAAACGGGCGTTTTTTCACTCTCTCATCGCCGTTCAACCTTGACCTTGACATTTCCTTGAAATGTTGTAAATTTGCTGGTCGTTTAACTCTGATGTGACTCCAGTAACAACCTTCCTGGCTTAGAATGTCATTCTACAACGAAACCTCTAATTATATTTATTTATAGGTACCTACTATGTAAATGACTTACGTCGTGATGATCGGGTTTTTTTGACATGTAGCGAATGCCATCGGGACAAATAAGGATAGCTTTGTACTCCTGAGGTCTAGTTTCTTCGGTTTCGTCATCTAAATGGTGCGGTTAGTAAAGGAAAATGACAGGGAGTACTTACTGATTATGTTAATAGAAAAGTGGCACCCTCCCTTATTACCAGCTTCGTCGTGTGCGACGTAGTTTATCTGGTGCAAACCTGGTCCGAACCTTGAACCGGGCTCCTGAAAGGCAAACGGTTAGAAGACGTACGCCTATAAGATTTGACACCTTAGATTTGTAGACTGCGGCTATTTTAACGTTATCTTGAAAACGAGGTTCGTTCCAGTCGACAATTAGACTGTGCTCGTGCCTGGATAATCTGTACTCCATGTCTCGGGGACAGTCTAAAACCGTAGGCGCCTCTTTGTCGAAGACCGTTATAATAAGGCGACAACTGATGTATTTGCGGTCCGATGGGGTTTGAGCGTGAAAGTGCACTTCGCTGCGCCCAGGAGGTAAACGAGTAGTTAGTCGCTTGCCCCAACTCGGTTGTGAGCTTACCAGTCTGAAATAGGTGTCTGATTTATCTGACAAGACAATGTTGTGGGATTACCTCTCCCAATCCACGTTCGTTTCCGGCTGAGTGATTGTAACCTCTACGTAATTTTGGCCGGGTGGCAAAGTGTAACTTAAATGGCCGCCATTGGGACACTTAATAAACGGGTCAGGGGCGGTGGCAACACAAGCCCTCCACATTGCGGAACGGTCCAGTTGAGGGTGGAGGCGTTGATTATCGTGGCAGGTTATGCTCTCATAGCCACGCGTTGGTTGGTAACCGGCTTCGCAATGCAACGAGCAGGTTTGGCCAATGAGCAGATCGTCTGTTGAGCAATTAATTGGGCTCCACTGACCTCGCGCCACCGGTGCAAGTTTCTCACAGGTGTCAGCTAGAAATTGTACGCTTAGGCTCGGGATGTAATCAACGATTGGACTTACGCCGACAGTAGGAGACGTAGTTCCCCCACGTACCGGAGGCGTCGCAAACCCTTCGCGATTTTCCATGCAATTTGTAGCCGGAGTTGCACGATATGATACACTCGGCGGAGGTTTGGAAGAAGTATTCTTTTCTGTTAGTGGTGTCGCACTTAATACGGCCATTACGTGGGGGTAACAGCTGCTTGCAGCGTTCATATTGCTTCCTACAGGTTCGGTCGTCTGTGTTCAAGACTTGACCTGGTCGACATCCGCATCTGTATCCACCTGCATAGTTGCGGCAAATCTGCGCACAATGGCCGTTACTTTCTGAGCACTCGTCGATGTCAAGACACGTTCTTTGGTCCGTGTTCAGTCGATAGCCCGTGGGACAGGTGCAGATGTAGCTGCCGGGTGCATTTTTACAGCCGTGGGAGCAACCGGCTGTGTTTCTACGGCATTGGTTGAGCTCCTTGCATACTCGCCGATTTGGGCGGAGAATATATCCAGGCGGACATGCGCATTGTGGGTTGCCGTTGTGATTGATGCAGCTGTGAGAGCAACCCCCGTTTTCCTTGGTGCATGGATCAAAACTAGAACAAATTTTTCCTTCAAGTGTTAAACCGGGAGGACACGAACACTTCGGTTGCCCATTAACGTTGGTGCACTCATGAGAACAGCCGCCATTGTCGGTAGAGCACGGATTCATTTTTACACATCGACGGTTGTGCAGTTCCAAACCTGGTGGACATGTACAGAGTGCTACACCATTGAGGTTGTTACACGTATGGGAGCAACCACCATTGCTAATGGAGCAAGGGTTGCTCGGTTCGCATTGTTTGTCCACTAATCGCATATCTGGTGGACACTTACACAAAGCTTCGCCATTAACATTCACACAAGTATGGGAACATGCACCGCTGTCGAACATGCATGGATCGACCAGCACGCATTTTTTACCGTAAAGCTGGTAACCAGAAGGACATTTGCATCTGATTTCGTCATCCTCAAACACGCACTGATGGGAACATCCCCCGTTGCCGTTAAGGCACGGATTTACTAGAACGCACGTGCTATTCTCTAATTTGTGATTTTTGGAACACTCGCATTTCGCAGACCCGTTATCGTTGAAGCAAGTGTGTGAGCAACCACCGTTGTTAACGCTACACGGATTAATTTTGATGCAAATCTTTAGATTCTTCAGCCTGTAACCTTTGGGACATGAACATTTCGCGAATCCGGCTACGACTGTGCAAATATGAGAGCAAAAACCATTGTTCTTGAGGCATGCGTCGATGATGTGACATGTTTTGTTAACCAACTCGTGGTCTTCGGGGCAAGAGCATTCCGCCAGTCCATCCGAGGTTACATTGCAGTAGTGGGAGCAATTTCCGTTGTTTACTCGACAGGGATTGAACTTGTGACACTTTGAATTCTCCATGTAGAAACCTGTGTGACAAGAACATGTAACCTGGTGATTTACATAGTCACATGCTTGTTCGCAATTGCCATTATTGATAGTACACGGGTTTTCTTCGACGCATTGGCCATGGATCAATTGCAAACCGTCTGCACAGTCGCATTTTAGTATTCCATTGGAGTTAGTGCAAATATGGGAGCAGCTACCATTTTTGTGTTCACACCGGTTTGGTTCGGCGCAAGATGTGCTGTTAATTAAGATTAGTCGTGGTGGGCAATGGCATATATGTTTCCCATCGACATTTTTACAAAAATGTGAGCAGTTACCGTTGTTAATCTCGCATGGGTTGTACGCTACACAACTATTACCCTGCAAATGGTAATTGCTCGCGCAGTTGCACTGCACCAAGCCCTCATCCGTGATTGAACAGTTATGGGAGCAGCCACCGTTATCTACCAAGCACGGATCCAACCTAAAGCACAAAGAGCCTTCGGCACTGAAACCGTTTCGGCAGCTGCAGTGCACCTTCTGATCTTTGTATTCGCAATCGTGTTCACAATCACCGTTGTTGATGGTGCACGGATCCAATTCGTTGCAAATGGTTTGGTTTACAAGCACTTGATCGTCAGCACACCCGCATTTTGCATGCCCATCCACATTTATGCAAAAATGCGAGCACCCCCCATTGTCAATCTCACACGGATCTGATGGCATACACTCGTTGTCGATCAGACGAAATCCAGCGCGACAGGGGCACTCCACTATACCATCAACACTGATACAAATCTCGCTACAGTTACCGTTGTTGACCGCACAAAGATCTTGCATCGTACAGTTCTTGTCCTCGGGCGTAAATCCTTTTGGACACGAGCACTGTGCCTCGCCTTCAAGGGTGACAGTGCAATTATGCGAACACCCACCATTATTGGCAGAACAAGGATCTATTTTCTCGCATCGAGTTCCGTTCAATTCGTAACCATCGCGACACGAACACTGCACCTGCTTCTCAAAGTACTCACAGTGGTGATGACACTCGCCGTTATTAATCGTGCACGGATCAATTTCGTAGCACTCCCTACCGACCAATTCAAATCCACGAGGACAGCTACACACCGCCTTGCCACCGACATTCTCGCAAATATTAGAACAACCCCCATTTGCGACACTGCACGGGTACAAACTGACGCATGAGCTCCCACTCAGCGTGTATCCAACGGGACAACCGCACCTGGTCGTGCCGTTAACGTAGTCGCACTGATGAGAGCAATTTCCGTTGTCAATCAAGCATGGGTTGACCACGGAACATGTCTTTCCATCATCACCCAGATAATAATTAAAAGGACAAGCGCAAATGTATGACCCGACGTTGTTAATGCAGATGTGCGAGCAATCGTTGTTAGTGATACACTCATTCTCATCCACGCACTTCAATGACTGCACCAGCTGAAAGCCAACGTGACAGGAGCAGTGATAGGAACCGATGGTGTTTTGACAAATTTGGTCGCACTCGTTCTTCGCGCTACACTCATTTATATCTTCACAGGTGTAGTTATCGCTCTTAAGTACGAATCCATCGAAGCAAACGCATTGCTTTCTCCCCTTTACCATGGTGACGTTGTGAGAGCAGAGCACTTCAACCGGTGGCGTTGTAAGCTCGTACCCCAAATCTGTCGCACCACTACCCTCAATTTCCGCGTCTTCGTCGTCATAAAGCTCGACCATTCTGGTTCGTTGCGTCGAATTTACAATCGTGTTCTCGGTTGGAATGGCATCCGTAGTTTCACTATCTATGTAGTATCCGCCGGTTGCAGTTTGTTCTTGTGGCAATGTGGAACTGAGGTAAACTTCACTTGTAGTTGATTCAGTGAGAGCTTGATAACTTGTAGTTAATACAGCTGCCGTGGTGGTGGCTACTTGAGTAGTTGTAAGCTTGTTTTCTTCCTCGTTTTCATGAGTAGTATGCTCTTTAGGAGTTTCTGTGGTACTCTCGTCAGCATCAAAAAAGATAAAGTGTTCAGTAGTGAAGGTAGTGCTCCCTGATTTCTGAGTTGTCGTTAGAGAAAAAGGTGTTGTCTCTATACCAGGAGCGGTGCTGGTCTCTAAGCCCACATCAGTGACAGTCGTGAATCCCGAAATTGGTGTTGAACCTTCCTTTTCCACCTCGTTACTGTATGTCGGGGTTAATGATTCTTCCTTTTTAACGAAACGTTCTTCTTTGTAGTCAAAATCTTCATCATAATTCTCCAGTTCGTCACTCTCTTCGTATGCATCATCGTAAAACGACGACTTTGTTGTGATAAAGCCGTTATATTCATCATCACTGAAGTTCAAGATTGGATTGAACGTGTTTTCCTTTTGATTGAAAACCAGCGGTGGTTGAGTGGAGTGAGATGCATCGGTGGTGAACTCGCGAGACTCCTTTGCACCTTGTATGGGTTTGGGCGCTTCTTTGTGTGTGTATTCTTTTTCGCTGTACTCGTCCTTATCGTTAGACTTGTAATCTTCCTCGTCATATTCATCATCGTCTTCATCGAAAGGGTCTGAAAACGGCTTTTAACATGCATACCCGAAGACAATGAAAGACTTACCATCTCCTGGTACTTCAGTGCAAACTGGAACTTTTCCAACCCACTCCCCTCTGCTACAGTACATTTTGTCAACATAATCCTCAAAATCGTATCCGTCGGAGCAGAAGTAAAGGATGACCAGAAACTTTTGGTTTTTAGTCCCTTTCCTTTCAGCAATCCTTTTTGCGAAACCATGCAACACCTGAGGCGCGCTGTCTAGTGCATCTCTCGAACAAGACGTGTCGAGTAGCTTTAATAAGTCTTCAGGTACACGCTGTAGGTCAATCTTCTTTTCATCTTTTTTATGCCGAATCTTGTGGTGTGCTGCAAATTAATTAAAATAACCTCAACGTTTCTTTAATAAATACTAATTAAAATGAGAGTGCCAATAAAACAAATTGGTTTCTATTATTTGCTAAAATGGATTTGAAACTAAATATACCATTTTGTTGTGTTAAATGACTCACTTATTGGGCCGTATGAATAACAGACACAAAAACAGCATCGAAACCTTGTAGCTTGCTACATAGATTATAAAAAAGCTTTCGACTCTATACCACACAGCTGGCTTCTTAAAGTATTGAACATCTATAAAATTGACCGACACATACAAAACTTTCTACATACCATCATGCAAACCTGGAAGACAAAAATACTTGTAGCTAACTCTTCAACAAAGATAGAAACAGAATCCATTGAAATAAATACAGGTATATTCCAGGGTGACTCCCTAAGTTCATTGTGGTTTTGTTTGTGCCTTAACCCACTCTCAAACCTTCTCAACGATACCACCTATGGCTTTAAAATTAAAGATCAACAAGCAGGACAATACACAATCAACCACCTTATGTACATGGACGACATTAAGGTTTACGCAAATAATAAAACGCATATGCAGGCATTACTTAGAATTATTGAAGAATTTACTAAAGATACTGGCATGGAATTCGGAATTAGTAAATGCAAATTACTGTACATAAGAAAAGGAACATATGAGACCAATCAGACACCAGAAACACTTAACAATGAAACACTACAAAATATGGCACCAGAAGAAACATATAAATATCTGGGTTTTGAGCAAAATACGAACATCAATCATTCACGACTCAAACAGCAACTAAAAGACAAGTACAAACATAGATTGACTCTCTTACTTAAGTCGAAATTAAATTCCAAAAATCTTTTTAAAGCAACCAACACCTATGCAGCACCGGTAATCGGATATTCGTTCGGAATTATACGATGGTCACACACAGATATTGACGAACTAAACAGACTGAACCGAACACAGCTCACACGTTACCGTAAGTTACACCCGAACTCGTGCATCGAACGTATTACGATTATAGTAGACCTGAAGGAGGAAGAGGCCTCGTTGACTTCCACACATTGTATAACTCTGAAATAGACAACCTCAGACAATATTTTCATAGCAAAGATACTCCACTACATCGCACAATCATCAAAGCAGATAGAAGATACACGCCACCAAATCTTCACGAAGAACATGCACAACGAGAACATTCACACACAATTACACAAAAAAAGGAAGAATGGTCACGAAAAACATTACACGGCAAACATTATAACATCGTGCAGAACCCGTATATAGATCAAGAGTTGACCTACAAATGGCTCACAATGGGACAAATTTATCCTGAAACCGAAGGCTTCATTCTGGCCATCCAAGATAACGTCATTGCAACCCGGAACTACAGAAAATTTATAATAAAAGAAGCGATCGAGTCGGACACATGCAGAAAGTGCCATCAAACCACCGAAAATATTTACCATATAACTGGAAGTTGTAAATTACTTGCCGGCACAGACTATACTGAAAGACATAATGCAGCCGCTAAGATCATACATCAAGAACTTGCCCATAAACATAAACTCATCCAGACACAGCGCGTACCGTATTACACCTATCTCCCGGATAATGTGTTAGAAAATGAATCTCATAGGCTGTATTGGGATAGAACAATATACACTGATAAAACTGTGACCAACAACCGCCCCGACATCACACTCATAGATAAGGTTGCCAAACAAACATACATCATAGACATTGCCGTACCAAATGATGTAAACGTCATTAAAAAGGAGCAAGAAAAGGTCACAAAATACACGCCTTTAGCCATAGAATTAAAAGAAGTTTGGAGACAAGAGGTTGTGAACATAGTACCACTTGTCATATCGGTAACAGGAATCACCAGCAAAAACTTCACGCGTCACCTCAAGACACTCGACCCACTTACACTCACACAAATATGCAAAAAGCAATTATTCCATTATCTTCCATAGTTAGAAAATTCTTACATCAAATACAATAGTAGATCGCACGACTTGGAAACAACCCGTCGTGTAGTCATAGATCCGCAACGGCGAGAATAAGTTAAATAATAATAATAATAATAATAATTTTTTAAATTGGCGGAAACTTGAGCAGAAGAAGAAAATGAGAAAAACTTGAAAGGAACTTGAAAAAACAAATTTGATGAAAACGTAAAGAATTTTAAGAAAATTTGAAAAGACCTTGGTGAACTTTAAGATGGATTTCATTGCAGTTCTTGTCGAATTTTCGGAGCATTGAGGGGAATGTATATATATGGGAATACGAGAATCTGAGAGCAACTTGAGTAACTCAGGTCGAAGAGAATCGAATTTGAGAACTTGATATGTATTTTAGCAGAACTTTAAGAGCGCTTGCGATGAACTTGAAGGAAATTTGAACCTTACTTGAAAAGGGCGACGTGAAAGATGATTAAAAAGCGAATATAAAATCTGTGGATCTCAAATAATAAACCCAAGGTGGTGGGCGGGCTATTTTCCTTTAATCAGTAATCCGCCTCTGATTAGCCATCAAAGTCGAATCTACACTATTTCTGCTGACAATAGGGAGATTAGTAAAAATTGTACTAATGTCCGTGGTAGAGATCGTACAATTTTAAATCGTTTCAAGACAATTGGAAGCTTCATGATCATGTACCGCGAAAAATTCTTGGAACGAGTATAATTTCTATCGGACCTTTAAGAAACTTGAAGTTTTGCACTTTAACCAATCAAATTTCTTCATTTAAAAACTGATGTTCATATCAGTTCGTATGTTATGGGGAACGTTTCTAGTAATAATTAATTTCCGATATACCTAAATATCTTATGATCAGATTTATCATTTAGCCACCACTTCTGTCATTCCATTATGCATTACGTTTGATTTGTTGTGATAATTTTAGAATAAATTAAATGGGTGGGTCCATAACGGTGTCGAAGATCTTAAACGGTTTGTCAACCTGTCAGGGCAGGATAATTTTTAAGATGTATTTATGTTGGCAAGTAAAAACCGTGTTGAACTATTATGATTTATGGATCAGCACGCGTAATAGTAAGTATATTAGTTAAATCTCGAGTTAAATGTTAAAAATGTGCTGGTACATTACCTGCGTGTGTTAGTGATTCGCCTTGTTCCTGATGAACGGAGTCGAACTGAACGTGTGGAATACTGTATCCATAACAATCTAAAACTATAAAACAGACCATTAATCAAAAATGACATCATCACCCTTTAAAAATGGGTCAGTTTGATGATATTTGATAGCATTTTAGTCATCTGGTTCAATTACATATGCGGAAATTTTTTTTCATTAACTGCAAACCACTTGGGCTTGCAATTGGCAAGCGGGCGTTTTCTACTCGATTAAAGTAGACAAGTGCACGGAACGAGACCAAGTTTATTGAATGTGCATAAATTATTTATGCATTACGACACCCATTTATTTACCGAAGCCAATTGTGTAAAAAGGACCAAATTTACTCGAACATAAATCTCGTATAAAGAAACTAACAGTTATGAACGGCTGCCCAAGTGCTTCCAAAATTCTAAACGGGCGATAATTTTTCTGTTTATAGCAATTTACATCAATTATCAGTTAATATACGACGTTTGTTTCTAGTTTTCAAGAATTTAGAATTTATATTTACGTACTGTCAAGTGTCAATGATCATACTACTATGTAGTTTTGAGGGAAATCCGATTCTTTATCACATTGAGACCGGCCAACCCAGTGAGTCTATCTGTAACTCTCTCAAGTAGTTTGTCGCTAATTTGCGGGCAAAAATTCCTTAAAACAATCCCCGCTAATGTGTTCTACAAATTTGAAGGAATTAAGTGGGTGAGTTTAAATGTTGCCTTTTGATAGACGTAATATAATCCTACATGACTGAAAATACATCACGACGCGGTCTTCTCCAAACCAAAAGAGTATGCAAATTTTGAAATCGTCCATTAGCCGACGACGATGAAAAAAATAAAATCATCTCGGAAGATGTCACAGAATCAATTAAAATAATGGCTATATTTAGGTAGGTACAACTTCTGACTTTAAATATAGAAAGTAGGCGCGTATAGAAATTTGTAAGTCATTAATTGAAGGACCATTAATTACAGAATGAAAAGGTAGGGAACTCTAGGAATGCCGTTAGTTATTATATTATAACAACACCCTGTCAGGTTAGGATGCCCTATTTATTACGATTGGCCAATAACAATCGATTTAATTTATTCATAATCATAAGTTTGTCGACCTAAATAAAAGGCGCCATAAACATGTAGGTGCGGCAAGTTTCCTAAAATGCTTAGGTATAGTTGATTTACATTTTTCGACTAACAGAAATTTTTGAAAATTAAATTGAGTGCGCGTTTTCTTTTTGGTAATTTAGCGACACCGACGAAAAGTTAGTTGAGATTCCCACACGCTCTTCAGGTACCATAGCAAATAGAAAATGTAGGTATACACAATGGTGGGTACCATTAAATTGTAGTAATAACTAATAACACAGCAGTGTATACCGTGTTTTTCTTTTTGTGAAATTTTAATTAGTTTTACTTCTAATAATACACGGTGAACATTTAATGACCTGCTTTAGTCGCGCGGCAGTCAACTTTCGGTTATTTTTAAATGGGTGCCTTTTCCGCATTTAGTAGGTAGGAAAGGGCGGGCAAAATTGCGCGAGGTTATAAAAAAAAGGTACTTACGTAAGTTGAAGATAATAAAAATTAAAATGTGGCCACAAAACGACTGCAACATCGCGTTTTGCTAACTGCATGCGAACGCGTCTGTTCTTCTTAACATGAGCTTCTCTTAAGCACTAAAATCAGAATACACAAACTTTGTGCAGTCAATTCTTTTTACTAGAGAACCTCTTCGTGTAGTTCATTTTATTATTTGCTTAGTCGAGGTTCCATGAATTATTTTTGTGAATTACGGTTTGCGTTCAGTTGTAACCGTGGGTGTGACTCAAGTCAAATTTTTCAAAAATGGGAGGTAAATAACCTTTTGCTCAATGGTCATTTTATTTGCATCGATTCATTCATGTAGACATTTATTTGTCCTTCTCTCTGTTAAATCAATTAAGGATATGAAAAAGTTTGACCACGTATGGTTAACGAATTACTCAGTTCGATGTTGATGAACTTTGCTTTAATTGGTTTAGATTGTTGAAAATCTAGAAGTTAAAAAAATTTAATGTGACAAAAACGACACTATTAAACTATGACAAGCTATAAAAGGCATTGTATGAAAGATGGCATATATACTTAGTCATTTCGCTTCATCGTAGTGTTTTTACTGTCATTGCACTGCAAGAAAATGACCAAGTAACCACGAACATGCACCCACAAGTTCCCTTTCGGCCAGAATTATTGTGCGGCGAAAGTCCTTTATTTGTGATGGTAACTTCCAGCTTTATACTTGTCCAAAAAATTCGTCGTTAAGACACGGGTTTTTGGGGTTGTGCAGCGTGCATGACGAAAGATGCATCCATCCATCGGAGGTTCAGTTGTAAACCAATAAATTATCGTAGGTACCTACTGTTTTCCTGGTGGTAACAAAAATAAGTACAGATCATGTGCTAAGTTAAGTTTCCCAGAGGGATTATTATCCTAAATTAGCCCCTATACATAGGTAATACAACAAAGTGTGACGTTAGTTAAGATGGCACTGCTTTTTGTCAATTCACGCCGCATAAACGGCCCTAGCTCTGGGATGTGCAAGTAAAAAGGCATGAGATACTTTACAGCGGTTAGTTCGTAGGGCATAAAAATCTTCGTAGCTTCCTCGTAACTTACCATAAGGTTAACCGGCACCCAGTTTCTTTAAAGCCTTTACTCTCCCTGGTATAAAATTAGGAAGATATCAAGAAAGTATAACAAAGAAAATACTGATTTATTTATCCACAAAAGAAATGAATGTTCCTTCATTAAACTTACAGATCATGTGGTATGATCGTAGACTAACTTAAGTAAACTATTTCTTAAACGAATTCAAAGAGTATTGAGTTGATCTGAACAATTTTAAGAATTCCAAGAAATGGAATGAACCGCAACATAGAAAATAGGGAAGTTGTGTATAAAAAAACGAAGAAAAAATGGCAAAATGTCGTTTCTTTTCGCATTTTGACTAAAACAAGATTCTCATTGTCGTGGACAGCATACAACCAATGATAAAAACGTCTCTGAAGTGGCGCTTTTAGCTGAAGTTGGTAGGTTTACATTATCGATGAATTGCTCCATTACAGCATTACAGCAATAATCAACGTTTTATTCATTGGTTGGTTTACTAAGCGAAAATTTTTCAGACATTGACTAAACAGATTCCGCAATCAAGATTAATCACAGAATAAGCAAATGTTACAACGTATAATAACTCTGAGTATCTAATAGAAGTAAGCAAAACAAAACTATTTCGAGAGAATGCGGATTTGTGTGTTATTCACTCTTTCCTGTTTTTTTACTAACAATCAAAATAAAAAATATCAACTTTTCCAGTTACCTAGGTATATTTTTAGAACACCTTCCTCCATTAAAAGGAACTAAAAGAAGAAAAACCATGAGCGATTTATTTTAAGAAAAGTTTGGAACGGAAATGAAGTAATTTAACTTAGCATAGTGTCACCAAATGGATTCATTTCGCGAAACTAGTACTAACAATTGTATATGTAAAGACAATTTAATTAGGATGACTCATAGTAACATTTGGTCCATTGATTAGTAACAAAACAAATAAGATAAATACTGAACATGATGAAGATTTTGCGTATAGTAATTGAATAAAATAGTACAGTTCACATCTAAAACTGCCATGGCATCACCGATTTTCTTAAAAGGGTCAGTTTTTAGTCAGTTAACGTTTAAATTGAAATTTTAACAAATCATATATTCAGTTTGAAAAAAAACAGTTAAATTCCTATTTGTAAATTTCCGCATCTACGCGTTGTATAATGGTAGTGTCTGCCAATACGCAGAATACGCTGCCCGTACGCAAGATTCATAACGGATTGCAGTTATCGAATGACGAATAGTCCGCTAGGGCAGCAAATCACGAAATCGGATTGGTAAAAACATTCACTGCTTTCATATCCTATACGAGTTCGTGCAACCGATCACCATCTTGTATTGTATAGGAACGGAAATTTGCTGCCCGTACGGCGCAAGGTTAGTAAACTCTCTATATACATATAGTCTCTTTACTAACCTTGCGTACGGCGTACATATTATCCTGTACTGGTAGTGGCTACAAATCCGTCTTGTCTGAGGAAAACGCGACAACGTCGCCAGTGTAACCACAGAAAATTTGGAATCCTGCTTTTGTAGGTTAAGTTTTAGAAATACATAAATAGAAAATGTCTTTAAATGCGTGCTTAATACTCCTTCCTCGAGTATTCCGAAGTTCACAATGTAAGAGTGTAATTACCAAAAACTATATGTTATATAAAAACTTGTATTTGTGTCGACTGCAATCGACAACCCAAAATAGGAACGAAGTCCTAGTGTACCATGGCACTTTGACCACACAATTACGGGGTGTTAAAGTAAGGAATGTCTCTATTGAGATTTTGGTACCGAGATTTCAACCGAATCATGCTTTGTAGGTCTTCTCGTTAATGACTAGCCTGACTGGTATAGTCGCTCAGCCGTTTATATACACTCAATTAATGTCGTTAAACAATGTACCTCTAATGATTGTTGCGTGGTCTTTCTTTGGGCTATTTACTATCGGCACTCCTCTTCTACTACATCTCTTAGCACGAAAGTACGTAACAACGCTGAAATACAAACCCGAGACAGATACTTACGTCGCGACAACACTAAATCTTTTTAATATAGCAAAGGAAGTATGCGCTTAGTTCTGGTGCAACCTGAAATTCTGTGATTTCATTTTAGTTGGAATTTAAGCCTGCAGATGTAAAAGTTCCCGAAGTTCTGGGTATGTTTACGAGTTTTACAGCTAAGGATAAAGCGTTATTTGTGGACCCAAGGTTTTTCTCAGATCCGAAGCATTATGGAAGGATAATGGGTTATGATAAACCGTTAGATTTTAAGTTGTGTAAGAGTAATATCAGTGAGGGTAAAAAGTAGTCGTTAAGTGCTAGTGTAGCATATTAGTCGATTAATAAAAAATAATTGTTGATGTTTTTTGCTGTATATTTGGCACCTAGTCAGGCCCAGACATTGATGGCAGACGTAAATTATTATTTATTATGTGCTAACTCAATGTTGTTTGCACCCTCACATAAGTTTGTTATTTTTTCCCTCTTTGTATGACGTTTCAATGGCTGTGAAGTACAGTTCCAAGAATCAAGATTATTATTATTATTATTGAAATCTAATATTAATAAAAACGATGTAATTAAATTATCTAATGTAATTGTTGCTAGTAAGGTAGTTTGTGTTGTATTGTATTTTTAACCAAACTAGTTGCTTGGAAGTAGAGGATCAAGAGGAAAACTCATATGAGTGCCCTCCCCTACCCTGCTATACTAATGTGGAGATCTTTGAGTATTTTCCCCCTTCGTTCATAGTTTTGATCCGATTACTTTCAAATTGGTGACAATTTCAATGACACTTTGAGTACATGACAGAGCAACCCTGAAATCATTATTACATGATATCAGGGTGGCGTCGTTAGCATAAAGAATGCAATCCATGTGCTTGGGCAACACTATGGGCATATCGTTTATATAAATTAGAATTAACAGGAGGCCGAGCCAAACTGTTTGCGGTAAAATTGTTTTCGAAAAAGTGGTTCATTTGCTTATATAGGATTCTTTCTAATACTTTACTGAAGACAGGAAGAATAGAAAGTGGATGGTAGTTGTTCAGATTGTTGGTATCGTCACCTTTTTAAAAAGGAACAAGACTACTGCTACTTTAAAACAGTCAGGAAAAATTCCGGTTGATATAGGTAGCAAGATTCACTAATATGGTTAGTCTTACAAACATCAATTTTGATTTTGAGTTTAAATGGATGAAAGATCTTACTGAATGTACTGATTAATCCCTATTTGAGTAGATTGTAACAATGCAGAAACTGATTGATGATAGCAGGAAGTGCAAGGTATTTTGGCACATAATAATCTTCTGAGCGTCATTCCTATTGTAATTGGTCTTAAACCGCCTCCTTTTTTATTAAGGGCACATAGGTTTGCTCCATTGGCTGAATTTGCTTTTCCAAGAAGCATAAGTTTGATAAGGTCGTGTCTTTTCACGTAACGTAAGTATACGTAGTCGGCTAGGGCGTTACCATTCGAATCGGACGGAGTGAGTCTAGTCCAGAAGCAGAGTCAAGTGCGAACATCTTGATAGCTGAAGTTACTTCCCCAACATTGATTTGGTGAGCAAGGAATTGGTCATCCAAAGATACAGTTGGTTTTGTTTCGTTTTGGGTTGCTGAAGGATGCGGCACGGGACACTCGAGACTGGACGGCCGAAGAGGAGGAGACCCTCAGCGATCATAACTACATAACATGGAGATTGGAGACCGATGAGAAAACGAATAAACCAGTCAACCGACTTGGCGGAGGGCCCAGGTGGAGGGTCAATAAGCTGGACGAGCACGAGGAGAAGCTCGGAGGCCTCCTACGAACCCTCACAACAATACCAAGAACGCAGCAGGATCTGGAACAGACGATGAGCAGGTGGGCGGACGAAGTAATGCCCAGAGTCTGCGAAGGTCCGGCGAAGCGGGCCATGTACTGGTGGAACGAGGAGGTGGTCAGCAAAGGCGCTTATGTATTCAAGCAAGGAGGACAGTCTGTAGAAAGAACAGGAGACCTGGACAGGACAGCACGGCACAGGAGGAGGAGCTCAAGATACGCCAGAAAGAGTATCGATCGGCCGTAGAGAGAAGTAAAAAACAATGCTGGAGGCAGCTGTGTGCCTAGCTGGAGAACAACCCGTGGGGGAGGGCATACAAAATAGTGTCCGGGAAGCTGGGGAAGAGACCAAACGTGGTAGGGACGGACGAGGAAGTCGTTAGGTTAGGTTAGGTTAGGTTAGGTTAGACCGAGACCACGGCAGACGTCGAAGGCAACCACGGCAGGATGGAACAGCAAAAAGATAAATCGAACGGCCTTGGGGGAAATCTTGCAGAAGGCAAAGAGAAATGAAGACTGGCAGGTACCCAAGCTAACCAAGTACCTTCGAGAAGTGTGCGATAGCACAATGCCGAAAAGAAGACAGGGCCTGAAACCACCAGCGTACTGGTGGAGTGAGGAAATCGCCGCACAAAGATTAGTCTGCGTGAACTTGAGAAGGCAACTTCAGCACAGGAGACGTAGTGGCGGGGACGTGTCGGAAGGTGACAGAGTGCTGCGGGAAGAGAGAAAAAAGCTGAAATATCTGATAAAGAATAGCAAGGAGGCGGCTTGGAAAGAGGTTTGCGATGAACTGGACAGCGATGTCTGGGGGAGAGGGTATCAGATTGTGACCCAGAAAATGGGAAGAAGGGAGCCCCTCATAATGACCGATGAAGAATATGTAAAGGCAGTCAAGGAGCTCTTCCCGGAGCACGACGATCTCGAACCAAACGCGACAGGCGGGCCAATGGAGATCCAGCCGGTGACGTGCGAGGAGGTGCTGGCAGCGGCAGCAGGGCTCCCAGTGAATAAAGCACCAGGACCAGACAGAATTCCGGCGGAAATAGTGAAGGCAGTGGCTAAGGCAAGACCGGAGATCTGGACACAAATCGGCACGAGAGGTATTGAAACCGGAGTATACCCGGAGCAGTGGAGAAGGAGCCACCTGGTGACGATTCCAAAAGCAGCAGGGGCGCTTAGGCCGATATGCCTAATAGATTTCGCCGGGAAGATATTGGAAAAGATTTTCAAGGAAAGGATCCTTAAACAAATCGAAGACAGGTTGTCCCCGGACCAATACGGCTTCCGCAAAGGGAGGTCTACGAAAGACGCGTTGGAAAGGATAGTTGGAGAAGTTCGGGACGCAAATAGCGGTACGTGGAGGACGCGAGAGGTTTGCATTGTGGCGTCCTTGGATGTAAGAATGCTTTCAATTCCGCGTCGAGACAGGCCATAGTTGAAGCGCTGAGGGAACTGGGGGTCGACGACGTCATGATCAATCTCATGAGCAGTTACTTAACCGGGAGGTACGTGACAGTGAAGAAGCCGTCGGGACAGAAGTACACTTTTAAAGCTAGTGCGGGTGTGCCGCAGGGGTCCGTTTTGGGGCCACTGCTATGGATAGCGATGTACGACGGTACGCTAAGATTGCTGCGTGAGTGCGGAGTGACTGTGGTCGGTTTCGCGGACGATCTCACTGTGGTGGTTCGTGACCGCAGTTTAGAACGCGCGGGAGCTAAACTGCGCAGTACGGTGGACAAAATCAACGAGTGGATGCGGGCACGAAAACTTCAATTGGTGCCTGCTAAAACGAAAGTGGCGCTTATGACCGGAAGGCGGAGGTTACAGGAATATACTGTAGATTTAATGGGACAAAGACTTACGGCGGACACTTATATTAAGATATTAGGGGTAACCATTGACAGAAACTTATCGTTCATCGAGCAGGCCAAATTAGCAAGCACAAAAGCCTTGAAGGTGTACGGCGCGTTGAGCAAAATTATGCCCAATGGGAGAAACAGAGCTGAAGGAAGTCTCCACTACGGAGGTGATCTTAGCCGCGAGGCAACTCCCTAACAATAAAGCGCCAGGTCCGGATATGGTTCCCGCAAGGATAGCGAAATATACCGCTATTAATAGACCGGATATATGGGCAAACCTGGCTACGCATTACCTGAGACAGGGTGAAACGGAGTACAGCTTCACACAATTCCTAACAGGTCATGGAGAAAACGGGGAATATCTAGCTAAGATAAATAAGAGGACAACGGATGAATGCGTGGACTGCGGGCTCCCAGACAACAAAGCGCATGCAGTTTTTGAATGTCCTCGATGGCATGGGGAAAGAGAGAAGCTAAACAGCAACATCGGCGAAGTGGTTACCCCAGACAACATCATAGGAATAATGTTAGGCACATAATTAAGAGTTACTGCTGCAATATAATTAACGTCAGAGAACGGGAAGGCAGATAACACCGAGAAAAGTGATAAAGACTCGCCATCAGAAGAATGTTCACGTGATACCTGATGGCGATGTTCTTCTTTAATATGGGATTGGGAGAAGGGTTTTAGTGGGGGCAGGTCCCACACTCCCCCTGCATAGATTTATGGTTCAACAGCAGGGGGGTGCGTTAGGCATTTCCCAATTCCCAGTTTAAATTAAAAAAAAAAAAAAAGGTTAGGTTAGGTTAGGTTAGGTTAGGTTGGGTGCGGCCGAGGTATGGCAGGCGGCAACGAAGTGGGGTAATGCGATGGCCAGTATGAATCGGGTGATCAGGCTGCTGGCAGTCCGGATCTGTAGCGCCTATAGGACGGTGCAGGCCGACGACGTCATGGTGGTTGCTGGGATCTGTCCGGCGGAGGTCGCGGTGGAGGCGAGGGCGAAGAGGTGGGACAGTGAGAAGGTGTACGCGGAGTGGCAGGCGAGGTGGTCAAGGAGAGAGTCGTGGACGAAGACTTTAATCCCGGAAGTGCGTGAGTGGTGCGAGAGGGGACACGGGGAGGTAGAATACTATATAACACAGTTTTTGACCGGTCACGGGGAAAATGGGTGTTACTTAGAAAGAATCAAGAAGCGCAACGACAGCAGGTGTGTGGATTGTGGGGAGGACGATACTCCGGGACACGCGGTACTGCAGTGCGCGCGTTGGGTTAGGGATAGGACAGGAGTGGAATTGGAAGTTGGGGCAAGGTTGGAGGAGTCGACAGTGATTGGATTGATGACCGGAGACGAGGGAAGGTGGCATCGGATTGCGACATTTATGACCAAGGTGGGGAGTACCCGAGAAAGGGAGACCAGGGAACGAGAGCGAGGGAGGCGGTAATAACATCTAGGCGCGAACCGCGCCGGCCGGACATGTCCGCGAAGAATGCCAATAATGGTGATGCCCATGTCATACCAGGCAGAGGAAATGGGTTTTAGTTTTAGTGGGTAAACCTCAAGGGAGTCCCACACGCCCCCCGCTAAGACCGCTAAGCGGGGGTAGTCCATAAAGGATTTCCCAAACCTCTATAAAAAAAAAAAAAAAAGTTAGGTTAGGTTAGGTTAGGTTAGGTTAG